CACAAAGATCCCAAGTTGAACTTTTCTCTAAGTTGAACTTAACAATTATGGAAAGCTGTTAGCATCTATGAAAATATTTTGTAAAAGTTATTTTAAAAGGCATAAAATGTTGATCCAAATCATTCATATTTTCTAGTTATCAAGGAGATTTCATGAATTTACAAAAAGTCTAAAAATTATTGAATTTTCGCTCTTGAATATATTATATTTTGAGGCTACAAATGGCTCTCTGTAATGTTAAAGTCAAACTTAGAGTTAAGTTTGACTTAGGATCTTTGTGAAACACCCCCAGGTTTGGTTAGGGAAGTGAGCAATCTATGACTAGTTCAGCCCGCTAAAGTGCTGATTATTTGGTCATTGTTGACCACAGCACTGGCTTAAATGCTACCCAGGGAGTGGAGAATGTGCAAACATTGTGTGCGGGCAAGTGACTGGGGTAATAATATATTTGTAGACATAGTCAATTATGTATTCAGCTCTATTTAGAGCACTATTTAGAAAAATTGTATATGAAATAGCATGTTGAGACCAAACATTCTGAAATATATCTTTTCTAAGGACACGTGTAGTGGGCTAGATTTTTAAAGTGTCATGCATGAAATGATTGATTTCCAACACTACAAAATAATTGGGGGAGGCATATATGCTTACCTCATGTTATGATGGATATCCACTGATATCCACTATTCATCATTATCACTGTGGAATAATGAAAGCCAAACAATATTTTCACACATGGGTGGTAAAGAATGAAGTATTTGCCTTCAGATTAGGGTGTGGGGATGGAGGAATCTAGTGTATAAAGGTTACTCAGGAATTGACATGTATCTGTTATTTCCTTTCATACCGTGTTGAATAAGGAACACATGTACAAACAATGCACTTTTTGTTATCAACTGTGGGCACACTTGGTTGGTTCACATGTAAAGTTTTGTATTTTACATGATACTGTTAAAGATAAATTCAAGGTCCACAAATCGCAGACCTCTTGTTTCCAAGAGCATTTCCAAGCAAGTAGGATTACAGAACACATAGAAAGAAAGAATGACACATAAAATTTTGGAATTGAAATGGTTTAGTAATTTGTTCCACTGCTCACCTCTTTATTCTTTGTCTGTTAAAGGCCCACTGCACTACTTGTAGCTACTTGCGCCCTCTATGTAACAAACAATGCCTAATCGGTGACCATTGGTCCCCCATGATCCTCTTTTTCTTATGTTAACTGAGAGCTGAGTTGATGAGATAATCACCTGTCCAGTGACCTTGCAGGGCAGTCTAATCCCTCCTGTAAACTACGGCAGATAAGCTTTAACTCATCTTCTCCATTTTTTTTCTTCTCTTCATTGATATCTCTCGAGGTGAAACCCTTGCTTCCAAAAGGTTGACGAACTTGACCCCTCTCATTTGTAAAGCAGTATTGAGGAGGGGTGGGGGGGGGGGGGTACAACAAACATTGGTACATATCAGTGCTTATATTTGAATATACTGGTTTACTAACATTTTAATTGTATGATTACTTTTTAAACAAGGGTTGTTCTTGACAAACTGAAAGCTTGCCTGAGGCTTGCCTTCCCTAGCAATAAGTAATTCATGCAGACCGGATTCCAAGTATTGTATAGTTCGTTCATTAATAACAGGTTGTTGGAATAACTTGTTACTAGGTCGCCAGGAAAGAAACATCCATAAATTTTAATATGTTAGTAAACCGGTCTCTTGGATGAAAACATGTCTGGTATTGGAGACTAACTTTAGCTTAACTTGGTTACATTTTTATATTTTGTGTGGAGAGCAGAGTAAGCTAGGAAAGGATCTCTTTTGAAGTCACTGGCCTACATTGTAAGTTTACCATACAGATTTGGAAGATTTATGGCATAGAAAACTTGTATGATTTCTGGCTCAAATATCAGCTACTCAATCAGACTCAGGAATCAGTTTGGCCCCTGAATGACCCAGATACCAATCTAGAGTGTGGAGTTTTGCTAGATCATGTTTTGTAACCTGGACATCATTTCATGAAACTGTCATAAGTGCAAGTTTACCGACATCCCATTAAAGCATATGTTGATTTTAATACATGCATTTAAATGGGATGTCAGCGAACTTGTACTAATGACGGTTTTGTGAAACTCTGCTCCGGCTTCTATGGAGGAGAAGTTGTTTTATGCCATAAAATGTAGGAAAACTCTGGTATATTTGTGAAAGCTGCAAAATGGGTTGAGCTGAAGCCAGGCTAGACTAGGTCTACATCTACCTAAGATCTATCAAGCACACATAGACTAGTCCAGTTCAATCTTCATTTTAACCTTTAATAAAAACAACATATATAAATAACAGAGGATCATCAATGAATAACAAACAATACAGGGCAATTAGAGAAAACATGAGAATGAGGGGTAAAAAACAAAATAGCAAATATGAGCATAAATAGATATGAATAATTGAGTTGTTAATTGTACATAAAAGTACAAATCCTCAATACAAAATACTTAATGATGTACAGAGAGCAAAAGCTGCTTGCTATTATTTTCATTCATCAATTGCCAAGAAAACTGAAAAAGTGACACTGAAAATATTGACTTTATGTCAAAAGGGAGATGATATACTCCTGCTGCATTAGAACTAGTATCAAGTATTGTTATGCATGTGGACATTTATGAATGAGATCTGTTTGTATTCAGTTTCACTTGGAGGCCACTTCACCAGACCCATGACCTCAGAAGGTCAAGGTCAAATATTAGGAGTCACAAACACAGTCGTAAAAATGTGAACAGACAGCAGGATGATAACATCTAGAAATGGACAGAAGATATATGTTCACATGGGAGAGTCGTAGCTTTGTACTTTACGTTTGGGAAACGTTAAAGTCATAAACATTAACGATCCAGTACTTAGCAAACATTTATTCACACAAAACCGAAACATGTATTAAAAGTTTAACTGCAAGCCGGGCAAGCAGTCATTTCAACTACAAGCTCCCGAGTCCCATAACCTCAAAGTAACTCCTCCTGCATGTCACATAACAGGAAGCATGCTTAAAGTGAGGATCCCCCCTTGCTCACAGTAATTTGAATTCATTGATTCATCTGTCATATGACAGAAAAAGTCTTTCCATTGGTTGAACAATAACAAAGATCTTGTCACAGCAGAATTATACAAAACAAAGAAATAAGAAGTGAGCCTCAATAGTTATTGCGCTAACCTTAAGATCTCTCGTTTAATTTCTTCAAGTTATCTTAAAGTTTCCTAAACACGAGTAAGTAATAATAATAACAATGTTTAAAACCACAAATCTAAACCTGGAGTTAAAAGTGGAGACAGGAAGGTTGATGGTGAAACCTTGTATATGGCTTCATGGTAAACTGGTTGGAATTGCCAATAAAAGTCACTCCATTGTATGGTTTTGAGCGCAATTTCACAAACATTTCTGAAATAATCGTTCTCAGTGATACTGATTCTCTACAAGATTGGCCTAATAATTACAAGGTACACAGAATGGTCATTGAAGTACTCAAGAGTCAACTACGACTGTCTCTGTAATTTGAATGAAGCAGGGAACTCTAAAAGAATGTCATTCATATCTTTGGCCAAAAGTAATAAATTACAGGGTGCCCGAAGATTCATTGTCCACCTAAAAATATGACTTTACAATATGACCTTGACTTTCTCAGTTTTGTGCTGCTGATCACCAACACATGTTTCTCCGTTCCAGTCCTGACACACTGCCCTCATGCTGTTCTTTTGAGAATAATCTAGGTTCCATAATGAAGGGGATTAATACAAAGTCTTGACAGGTTTGGACCAAATGGGAGCTTGGTGAAGTCCAACCGCAGCCCTCACAGACCTCAGCTCCTTGACACTGTTCACACCCTCACTTCCTGTTTTACTTATCTTTGTCATGATAGTGTGGGATGTAGTTGATGTATTGTTTAGTAGGTTTTATGTTCAGGATGTGGGGTAGACATTTATGAATGGACATGATTATATTTAACTTCTCTTATCCCCATTGACATTGTGGCGTGTGCATACATACCTCGCTTGCACAGTGACTCTGCTCGCGTGTCAAACTCTGGGGCTGTGTTGAGCACGCCTCCAGCTCCCACAGGAGGCAAACTGTGATTACTTTTACACATGTACTAAATAGGTAAACATGGTAACATGAACGTTTAAAATGCGATTGATATAGATTTCCAAGAACTTGAACCAGTTGATCCTTTGTAGGCTCTTCCATCTGTCCTAAACAGGGAAACATTTACGTACATTCTGACTAGATTAAACTGCATGATCAGATAATATTAGGTCCAGGACAAGAATCTTAATTGTGGCAAAGACATTTTAATATATTCGCCACTCTGTACCAAAGAGATAATAGGAGAAATGCAGGAAGAGATTCTAATTGACAACATGCTATTGCCTTGTATGTTTTCATTAGGACAAAGCATGGAAAATATAGAAAAAATCCCCAGGGAGAGGAGAGAGTGCACACTTTGGTGCCAGCTGGAAATTTGGCAACCATGTTTGATAATAACTGTGATGATGATGATGATGATAATGATGAGCAATGATGATCAATGATTGTTTCACCTGACTGCTAAGAAAGTATTTATATGCTTGTAAGTAAACAACCAGGGGACCGACAGCTTTAACTCCTCTCCGAGGGACTTGGTAATAAGGATGAATGGCTTACTGCAAAGAGCACTTGTTATGAACCTGGAACCTCACGGTTATGAGATCACTGCTCTACCACTGAGCCATCGCGCCTCCTATAAGAACTGTGAAGACCGTCTGTACTAGTTTGGCTAGGATGGATTATACCACCCAGGAAGGTCACTGACAGGTGGCTATCTCATCAACTCAGCTCTCAAATAACATAAGAAAAAGAGGATCATGGGGGACTAGGCATTGTTTTCTATATAGATGGAGCAAGTAGCTACAAGTAGTACAGTGGGCCTTTAAGAAGATTTTGAAACTAACACATCTTAATTTTTCATTATCAATGTTAATATTCTTTTCATATTTCTCTTTTCTTCCTCTACAGGGATCTAAGGTTCAACCAGATCAGTGAGATCCCGACCGGTTCGTTCAGAAACCTTCCTAATGTCAGCACTTTACTCCTCAATAACAACAACATTAGAAGGATTCACAGAGGAGCATTCTCAGGCCTTAGACACCTCAAATATTTGTGAGTACAATTTTGTCTATTTACTTCAAATGGATTGGAGTACATTTGTTTAAAATTCAAAAGTATTCATGTTGCTCGAGTAGAATGAAAATTGTTAAAGGTATTACAAAGTTTTGGTATGGGGTCATGAATTTGGTTTAAATGAACATATTGGAAGCATATACGATCCTACAATATTCAGTGATCGTTGTCGCGGTCGAAATCGACTCTAAAGTTATGAAATTGTAAATAATAAACACTTTATGTTGAATAGCTCCCTCTCAAGGTCAAGATATTAATCAAGCTATAAAACAATGTTTATTGACTAAAATTGACTGATTAGCTATTCTCGTTCGGAAATAATATACCACAACTACATATTCTGAAATTTTCATGGTCGCAGCTACCATTGTACGGCCGTAGGAGCTATTTGAAATTTATCAAAAATTTACCGGGAGCACCGGTAAATCTTTATATTCAATTTTTCTCGAAAGCAGAATAATAAATAATAATAATGAACATTTGTATATAGCGCCTTTTCTACAAGTAGATACAAAGCGCTTAATTAACATATACAATGAACAATTAACAAAATAGAAAGATGCTTAACAACAGACATGTATGTAACAATATAGGAATGAACAAAATAAAGGGTAAGACAGAAGTGTTTTAGTGGCTAAAATTTCCAGTGTTTTTAATACATCCACAGGGGCATCCAAACATATTAAAATTGTAACGAATCGCTATCCACCCACTTTTCAAAATTTCCCAAAACTTTGTAATACCTTTAAAGATAAGCAAACTCGGGAGCTATGCATTATCTTAAATATTAACCATTTTTAGACAGAGGAGAATTCATTAGTTTAGAATTCAAAAGTATTCATGTTGCTTGAGTACCGGTAGTACGAAAATTGTTTTAGATCTAAGTAAGATTGGGAGCTGGCTATTAAAGGCTATACATCATCTTGAATATCACCATCTTTTGTACAAAAACATCATTAATTTCTGTTTTTCTCCCAAGTGCCTTCTCCCTTGGGCGCTACTCAAGATATATTATGGATAGTATATTAATGTACGTCCTCTAAAAAAGGAAAGACCCTCCTAGCTGAGTCATACGTCTTGAAAAGAAACAGATATTTCAGTCATTATATGAGATGGAACAGATAGGAAAGTTGTCAAGGACCACATCATAGTGACATTACTGATTCAGCAAATTTAAAGTTCCCAGATGTATATAGTGATAACAAATTTCACAAATTCTAAACCTCTTTATTGTTTAATTTTTAAACTTTCTCTTGTCTACTTCTCTGATTTTTTCTCTGCATGTCTCATTGATTGCTATTAAAAAGTATTAAAGGGGCATGTTCCCCTTATTCCAGAGGGCGTTCAAAATATGTACGTGCTGGCGGACGGTGCTATAGTTACCTATTGACACCAACAGAATACGGCTCTTACGCAGATGGCATGTTCGGATAACTACACTGGCGGGAACGTGCCCCTTTAAGGTTGGATTTCCCGTTAAGTTATAGATTAATGAATCTGTGAAATTGAAATATAGTTCTTTTTTCCCCTTATGATATTTTTGTGTTTCTCTTGCAGATATCTTTACAAAAATAGGATTGCTGACATCGAGGAGAGGGCTTTTGAGGGGCTCAATAATTTGGAGCAGCTTTATCTCTACTCCAATCAACTCAAGAAAATACCCCCTGGGACATTTAGTAACCTTCCTTCGCTAGAAAGGCTGTAAGTCCACTCACGTTGAATTTTGCATGTTCACTCCAAAAAGCCAGTTGAGCACAAGAAGATGCTAAGTTCATGAGCTCACATTGGCTTAACATCTTTTTACCTCTCAACAGTGCTACTGTTCATCCATCAATAATGTCTTTATACATTTCAGATGTATAACAATAATACATACTGGTCACATCATTTAAACAAAATAACCATTCCAAAGTATGGGCTAAATTCATATTTCAAAGACAGAGTCCGGAGACATATTTTGCAAAGCACCGTTTTCTTGGTAAAAGTTAGAGAGATTGATATTCGCTTTCAATGACAAAAATCCTTACTGCCTCCTTTTTCGGTATGTACGTTAGATATTTCGAAACATTCAATATTCTGCATCTATTAAAATTTTCATTTTATCTTTAGATAATTAAACAAAGTCATTGAAATCTTTAGAGTTTGATTGAGAAAGTTTATTAAGTTACCCCATTTTTCTTACACCAAATTTTTGAGGTTTAGTATAATTCTTGTTAAGTCGAAGAACTGTGTGCTTAGTTATCAATTCTTGGGTACCGTACCGGTACTTTGCTTCTTTTGTAACTTAATGTATAATGTAACAGTAGATGCATTTACAGAACTTTAAATGTCATATTAATTTATATATCTATGCTAAAGGTTGCACCAATGATTTGCATACTGATGCTCATGCTCTAGATTTTATGTTTTGATAACGTATCCATATTTTTGCATTTAAAATTTATCAAATTAACTCTACAAGTTGCTTACTCAATAATGAGACATGCATACTCAGACATACTTGTTTTCTAGTCTTAGTTTAGTCATATTAAGTATTACATAACAGCATTATCTAATCTATTGATTTTGATATGTGTACATATATATATGACATGCGATATATTCAAATTTAGTATGCATAAATGAAGATTTTCATTGCGAAATGCATCTGTATCCATTTTCGGCACATTTATGTTAACTTTGGCTGATATTTTTTCATGGCATGTTCATGCAGTTACAAATAAACAATAAAAACTATAAATGAAATCTGCTCAAACTCCAAAATTTTGAATTCAGTGTTCCTAGCAATGAAGCTCTTCCAATGAAGTCATTATTATAATAATTTTGTTTTGTTTCAACTACTAACATATTGCTTGCTATTTTTGCAGGTTTTTGAACAATAACAATATATCCATACTTGAACCAGGCACGTTCTACGGACTAGGGTCGTTAAAACGATTGTAAGTTTAACCATCATGTTTTTGTTTATTTGTTTGTTTGTTTTATGTTGTCTGCTGAGAATCAAAAGGGTGTTCAACTAATTTTGAGGTCATCCGATATTTAATTCTTTAGATCACAAAATGTACTATAACATAATCCAAAATATCTGTTGTTTCTTTCAAATTTCCGAAACAGTATAAACCATTTCATCCCCTTTACACCGACCCAGGAGGCTACTGCTCAAAGGTCTCAGATTTGTTTTCTCAAATAGGATTATTTTCATTAAAAGCAAACAAAAAATGATTTTACACTTTTCTTTTCTCAGCAGGCAAGGATCTGTTTGTAATATTTATGTTGCTTGATGGCTTTTGCATGAAAATTTGTGACGCATGATGAAATGCATGTTCTTATTTCGTAATCATTTTTAACTTGAAATATTTATGTCATTGTAAAGTATGTATATCTATGTTTCTTGTTGTTGTGTTAGTTTGTTTGTTGTGTAGAATTTTAAGATGCTTTCCTTTGCCTTGTAGATAGCCTATAGCAGGGGCGTAGACAACGGGGGGGATGAGGGGGATGCATCCCCCCCACCTCACAAGGTGGGGGGGATGGCATGTACAATCATCCCCCCCAGGTTTTGGGGAATGATATTTGCTTACTTAATAAGTCATAATGATGATAATAATAGTAATAATAATAATGATAACAATTATAATATTAATAATAATAATAATTATGATGATGATAATAATAATCCTCATCATTATTGTAATTGTGTTTATTGTTATTAGCCGCATTCACACGGTGAAAGCCAATTCAGACGGTATTTTGTGGTTAACTTGTGGTTTGGAAACCTAAAGATAACCACAACATTAAACAGGCGCGGATTTACGGGGGGTTTAGGGGGTTTAACCCCCCCTTTGGGCGCCCCCCCCCCCCCCAAAAAAAAGGGGGGAAAAAGAAGAAAAAAAAGAAAAAAAGAAAGAAAAAAGAACGCACGCTGGAGAGAAACCCTTTCAAGTGCAAATATTGTGAGAAGATATTCAACTCATCTGGTAACTTAACCAAACACATGATAACTCTGGATATAACTGTGTAGTTAACTGTTACTTTATTTAAAAAGACGTTATCATGCACTGCTTTTTATGGTCTCCATTGTGTTAATAGATGCCAGGAAAACATCACTTACGGGGTTCAAATAAACACCCCCAAAAAAATCGGATCGCCGCTTCGCGGCTCGTGGACGATGCTCCGCATCGTCATTATTTTGGTCAACCCCCGCTTAGCAAAAAGCTAGATCCGCCCCTGAGTCATCCCCCCCAGGTGTACGAACCTGTCTACGCCACTGGCCTATAGTGTGCATTGTTAACATGATTGAACAACCAAACAGAGTGAAAACTACCCCTGAACATTGTCCTTTACAATTGAGTTGATGTATACAGACTTAGCAGTTAGACATTAACAAGAGCAGTGATCTAAAACTCTGGAGGAGAGATTGATTTAGCTTTAGAAAGCTCAAAAAGAGCATTCTAAAAATATAAATGAATAACAAAGATTGCATCCCAAGAAATTTCACCTTTTCTAAAACTCAAAGAGTTCCAGTGAATCAAAAATGTATATTAAATTTTGCATGAGATTGAGAGTCATGTATATACACCAGAAGGTACAGAATATTAATGAAAGACAAATTTATTTCAGTCCAAATGTGCACAAATATTCATATGACTGACATTTTAAGCAGACCAATATTTTGTCAGAGTCAGATTATTTATTCTTTCAGTGTGTCTAGCAAGAAATATGCTCCATAGCAGAGATTTGAAATATGACATCCTTAAGGCTAAAAGGTCACTAAACTTTTGAGATTGGGTAAATAGTAGCGGACATATCCAGGCTCCCAGACGGCCTGTTCAGGCTGTAACAAATTCATGCGAGACTTGTATAAAGAAACGTTATAGAGCAGAAGAGAGAAAAGACTAGAAAAACAATATACCGGTAGTATATAAAAGAAACATAATAGCAAAAAGAGAGTACAAACTCGAAAAAACAAGATATTAAAGAAACATATAAAGAAAACTATTTTGAGGAGGACAGTTGACACGACAGCTGCTTTATGGCTAATTATTAGTGTAAGCTCATAGTTAGCCCCCTCCCTCCCTCTCCTCTCCCCCTCTCCCCTTATACATTGTCTGTGTATTAACGTTCAGCCTACATTGACCATTGCGATACAGAAAGTTTGTTCAAACTGATGCCCACATTAAACAGGCGTTTTGCTGTACATTGTTTTGGTGTATGACGTTTCTTTGTATAACATTCAGACTACTAGAATAGATCGTATAGCTGAATGCAGGGTAACTGTCTGTCCTTCGTCTATATCCATAGTAAATATTTGACATTTGGAGAACTTTATGAGGTTTCATTTTTATGGGGGGGGGGGATGAGGTTGGTTGAGAGTCCTATGTTTACAGAAATATTAGAATGTGTCTGTCTGTAGCTGTAAGATATCTCTTGGAAAACACTTATGGCAGAAATAACAGCGTCCTGGAGGAAAATATTTGAATAAAAGCAAGTAATGATTGATGGAACAAAAAAGGCCAGCATGATATTGTGGAGATTGTCGTTGGTCTGTGTAAAAAAGACCTTTTTGTAAAATGTCAGTTGTAAAAATTATTGATGTTTGTGGCAAATTTCAAATCATATTTTTAGTAAAAACTGTTGCCAAATGTATTTCCTTTTTCAAATACCCAAATAATTCATGTAATCTTTTTTGCTTTCAAAATTTAGATAGAATCTCCCCAACATTTTTTAGAATATATTTATGGCAATTTGATTTCAATACCTTTAAATTGTTAATGACAAGTATCTAAACCAAACCTGACACTTTGACTGGGGTTAAAATCAATTCATTTATTCTGGGTGTGGTGCACAAGGAAAGTGTCTTTCATAGTGATGTGAATAGAGGGAGCATTTTTATCAAGATAATATGCTGCATGGGATTTTATTCAACTCTTTGCAGATGGACTTGTGGTTTGGGCATGTACGTGACTTCTTCAGAAACCTTGTTTTTTAAGTTTTACTTACTGTAATGTGATTTCTTGTATTCCTATTTCTTTTTATGGTTGGTTCAATTTTTGATTTTCATGTATGCTGCGTGTCTTTAATTGAAAAAACTTTTTTCATATCTTGATCTTCTTTTTTATGTAGATGTTTGCCTTTTGATTAATCTGTCTTTCTATCAATCAATCAATCATTCTATCCATCTAGATAATTTATATCTATCTACCAATCTATGTATGTATCTAGTCTAGCTAAATCATTTATCTATCAAATCTACCAATCTATGTACATATACATATGTTGAATCTCTCTCTCTCTCTCTCTCTCTCTCTCTCTATCTATCTCTTTGTCAGTCCATTCATCAGTCTTTCTCAGTGTTTATATGTGCTTTTCAATTGAAGAAAACAAATATCCAGGCTACTATTATAGTAGCTTTAAAACCAGCATTATACCTTTGTTTAATATGGCTATCAAGTCCCCCCCCCCCACCCCCCCCCCCAAAAAAAAAAAAAAAAAAAACACACCCCTGTCTGTATCCCTGCTTGTAATGTTGGTTAATAATACAGATGCTACTATACCTTATTTTGTGAACATTTAACACAAACATATGACAAATATATATGTAGTCCTAGTGTGTAGCTAGTGTCTTTGAAGAAAAGATTTCTTTAAGTTTTGAGCATGATCAGATAGAGTTTTTAATGTTTCAGTCGATTGATGCACCTGCATGTATTGGCACCAAGTACATTAATCACTTCCCAATGATTGAATAAATAAAGCATTGTGTCACGCACTACCTTATACCTTACAGCCTGTTTCCAGTGCCATCACACACCGCTGCCAATAACTTCTATTTGATTTGTGATAACATGATTGTCCAACCACACGGCATCAATCATCATAATAATAATATTCCGCTTTTGTATAGTGCTTAAAGGCAACGTTTAACAATGTTGCTCTCAGCAGACAACATTTTTGAGCTCAGTGGGTATATACCCCACAAGGTTTGTCATTCTAGGAAAGCAAAGTTTAAAAAAACAAAAAAAGAGGAACTGTCTCTCTTTATTTTCTGATTCACTGTGTTTGCATTTTTGTCTTTCTTCAGGCGACTAGATTCCAACCAGCTTATATGCAACTGTGGATTACTGTCCCTCATTCAGATGTTATCACATGCGAGTCGTCATAGAAACACGCAGGCTGCCGCAACTTGCCACTTCCCAGAGAACCTGCGAGGGCGCAATTTGGTCGACTTGACCCCCGAGGAGCTCAACTGTCGTAAGTATCACTTTTCATACAAAGCTCTCTTCGTCATTACGCCTATCAGTGGCATGAAGTTGGTTTAGGTCAGTCACATCGACTTAACACGGTCCTGCGACAATTGCTCCTCGTCAATTTCCTACACTTACTGAACTCCTATATAAAGTCCGGTCCTGAACCCATTGTTATACCTAGTCCTAACCCAAATCCTAAACCTGAAACGTTACCATCGCTATTCAAACCATGTGCCTTTGACAAAATAAAGCCTGGAGCAATAGTCGCCAGAGTAAGGGATTGGGCTGTGCAGTGTTACTGAGATATTGAAATATTGTATCTCAAAAACCTACGTAGAATGCCAGGATCAAGTACTGAGAGATATTATTTTAGATGTATCAGTGGAGTGGCAACTTTTTTAAGAAGTAAACAAACTAGGAATTTTGGCCTAGCAAAATTTAATCGTCTCTAGGTATTTGTAGAAATTTAGGCCAGGAAATGGGCTAGTGTTAACACTTTGCAGTGTGGATTACAGTTGATGTAGTTATTCTCCAAATTTTCAGCCATGTAAATTGCATTTCGAGACTCTGCCTAAATATCCTCTTTTTATTCACGATATTCGTATGGTATTACCACTGGTGGTACCAAGTGGGTTAAATCAGTTTAGAGATACCTGTTTGCATCGTGCCTATCATCATCAAACAGATGTCATAACTGCTCAAATCACACACAAAGAGATAAAAAGCCAAATGTTTGATTGTTCAAGCAAACTCAGTGTAACCTGATATGTTTACATTCAATTACACCAGGCAACCCCTCTAATAAGACCTAAAACCACGTAACAATGCCAAAATGATTGCTTGCCAAGAAAAATTCATGTCAAATTTGGGGTCTGAATAATACCTTTTTCTGCATTTTGAAATATTTTTATGCAATTATGTAGCAAAGTCCTGTTGGGAATCGTTTTGACATAATGTTGGTTGTCATTTGATCAGATGGAAATGGATGATATAAATATAATCAGATGGAAAGCCCTGGAGATGAGTATTCTTGGAAGAATCATTACATCCTTTTGAAAAGTTATTTATTTGTTTTAAAATAATCATATTATGCAGTTAGGATCCTCTTTCTCTCCTGTCGCTTTCCCAAGTTCAGAAATAATAATACCCATTGCCAAATACTGTTTTGTACATTGTGAGAGATATTAGTATATCTCACCTTTCTGCACTTATCCAGGTATAAGACAGTTGAGATGTGTGTCACTTAAAATACCGTTACCTATTTATTTATTTTAATTTTTTTAATTTTGTTGTTGTTGTTGTTTGTTTGGGGGGGGGGCAATTTGTGAGGTGTGCCTTTGGAAAAAACAACACTTATTTTCTTATTTAGAATCAGGTGCACAAAATGATGATGGCTTGGTTCAGTCTGAGCTCCATGATTGAAACTAAAAATAAGAAGGGTACCGTCTTGACAGGAAATGCGTTTGATGGGTATCTTTTAAAAGCCCAATTCATGTGTCGAAAACTTGCCCGAGAATCGCACCGTTTGACATTTTGATTTGACATCACTCTACGGCTTCTGGGGTTCCACCTTGATCTACTTTTAGTCCTTCAACAAACTCCAACTGTTCTCCCTCTTCATTTAGGTCTCTCATAAACTTGTGATGATATTTATATTAGGTTCACATGACAGTCGCACAACGTTTTAGTTTGTGGTTTTAAACTTTGAAGTTTTAAACTTTGAAGTTATCTTGTAGATAGAGATAGTATGGATGCACTCTTGGTTTAATATGAAACTTTAAAGTTTACTCAAAATCTCAAACCACAAGTGATCTAAAGATTAGCGCAATAACTACAAGCATATGGGAGGTCCTAAGACTCCCCACCATCCTGCGCTTTTATTTTAAAACTTTTGAATACCCGTCGTTCCAGTCCTGTGTGGACCCTTGTCATACAAATAGTGGATTATTATTTATTACTTTGAGATTTTACAAACTTGTTAAAAACCTACAATGGCCCTGTATGAACAGAGCATATGTCCGTCAAGATGAGGAGATGGTTTACTATATACCTTGGGGTTTCTCTTGGGTCAATTCTTTGCCTGATTAATTCCATAATTGATGGGCATTTGTATATTTGTATATTTATTTGATGTCTAATGGAGCAGGATATGTGCCCTTGTTTGCTTTGTCTGATTTTAATTGTTATGTCTGTTTATCTTTATCCTTTTATTTTTATTTGTTTTCCTATGCTCCCTTGTCTCTCTTGTATTCTACCTTTTACGTTCTCTCCTTTCTTTTCTTTTCCTTTCTTTTGTGTTCCTTTGCTTTGGTATCATGCAAACTTGGATGTTAGCTGCCCTACTTTTCACCTGCATTTAGCATTTTTGCAATATACAATAATTGTGCTAATGAGAGCTGAAAGGGTGTTAAACTCATTTGCCTGTTTTGCAGATTTATTTTCATTGTAATGATCACTTTTTCTCTGTTTTCCTCCCTATCTTACAGAGCGACCTCATTTTGTTGTAGAGCCTCACAATGTAGATGCCACAGAAGGAAACAATGTGTACTTCAGCTGCAGAGCTATGGGTGACCCTGAACCTGAGATTGTATGGCTTCATGATAGGTAGGTCAAAGGTTAAAGGGCAAAGGTCACTGGGCAAAGGTCATAACAATGTCAGGATATTATTTTGAAACTGCCTCATGCAAAGATATATTTATTCTGAAATAAATGACCATCGTGTCACAGTGTGAAAAATTATTGCCAAGTTTCTCTTTGAAACAAGGTCAAAGTTCAATGTCCTTGGAAGAAGGTCAAATTCAAACTGTGTCTAAGATTGTTTGAGGCTCCTTAATCCTAAAATGACTTGAATTCCAGTTCAAGAATTCAATGCCAGAGAGATTTTTTCAGACAAATTGTCTCATGCAGTGATCCTGTTTGTATCCCCCAAGTTCATCATACTGCAAGTGGCCATCATGTTACATATATCAGGTGTGTGGACCACTTACGTGTGTGATTGAATTACTACTCTATGAGAGTTTAAAGGTCATTGAGGGAGGTCATATTGAAAGTATGTCACTCACAGTATGTTTGGAGGGCAGACGATCATGACATTGTTTGAATTCCGATCCAAAAATGTCCCTAGTTTTGTCCAAAAGAATGTGTGTTACTAAAAATAAAAGTAGATCAAAGGTTAGAAAATACACTTTTTCTCAAAACAAGTCTGTTAGTGCGTAAACAGACATTTAACTTTTAAATATTCTTTGACCCCACCATTAGAATAAGGTAAATATGGGTCAAAGATCACTAGTTGTGTTTAATACTAAAATACTGATCGTATGATAAACCCCTTACCCCATCCTCTCAATATAGGGGTAAATTTAAGTTGGCACAAAATGTTCAGACATTGATTTAAATAATAATAATATGCCTTCAGCTAAAGTAAATTTCCACAATCAACTTGCAAACAACATTTCTTTTGAACATCTATGATATACATTTGTCTGCCAAAATTCAAAGAGGAAAATAAAATATAAAAAGAGCGTCTTGGTGTCCGTTCATTGACCCTAATATTTCACTTGAGGCAATAGACCACGACGCCAAGTGTTGTTCCAAAACTCATATTTTTCCCCCAACGTATCTCATGCAGAAAATCTAGTTTAACTCTTGGCGTTGTCCTGGCAACGTAATTGAAACCTATGCCGTAAATTCAGAAATGGGAGCGTAAGCAAGGCAGGGTGTTGAAAAGTTGGGAAGCCAGTAATTCCAGACATATGTACACACCAAGACTTAAAGGAGGACTTTGTTGAATACGCTCAAAGGATTAGTTAGACCTGCATGCACATATAGTTAACGATTAAATTATTCATACCCTTAACAAGTTTTGGAATTTTTAAGTATGTGAAAAATTTATTTGTTCAGATTTATGTTTCTTAGAATGTGTCATGTGACAAATTAAAGCTTACATCTAAAAGTATTCAACAATGGCCCTAATAAATCCAGTCCTTTTATTTTTTAATTTAGAAAAAAATTCATCAAATTTACAAGGGGGTATGAATGATTAAGTTGTTATCTTTAAATAACAGTACATAACACATGTTTGTGCATAACTTTATGCAAAGTTAATGAAGAAAACTGGTCTGATTTAAGCTCCTAAATATCTGTGAAGAGAAAAAAAGAAGTGAGAATTATATTTAAGGTGCATGTTCTCCAAAATATGTTTCTATTCATGATTTTTATTAAAGAGATTTCCTGTGAATTGTTCTTGTCCAATAGGCTGTGATGCTCCTTGCATTACAATATGGCTGCTTCAGTGTTAGCATAGAAATCCACAACAAGTTTCCCATTGGCACTCCCAAAGAGTCTTGTTATTTATTTCTAAAAATGTCACCCCTCTCTTCCTCCATCTTATTCCTTCCGTACATCACATCATAAATATTATATTTTAATGGATTTTTAATAATTATTCATCCATCCGAAAGATATTTGATATAGCTCCTTTTCCTTGCGGTTACAAAGTGCTGCACACACACCTCCACAATATTTGGGCCTCTTATAAACAAAAGTTAGTCACTTCTCAGAGATCAGTCAAATATATGTAGGCTTGTAATAAAGTAATTTCTAGCAGAATAAATGTGACTTGAGTAATTTCTTGAAGTGCTCAACAGATGAGGCTGTCTGCACAGTAATAGATAGCTGGTTCCACAGTATTATGAATCTCATAAAGACAATCCATTGTAACTATTATGACAAACTCTCAAGGGAAATAAGCCAGCTAGGGCACATTGAGGAGACCCAGACCAGAAAGATGCTCTTTAAATCCGTGTTTCAGACTGCTTAGGAATCTGTCAGCTCACTGGAAGTTTGATAAAATCAAGTGCTCAACCAATATCTTTTGCACGTACACATAATTACCTTAGATTCTCTTTGAGCGGAAATCGATTGACATGAGTTTGCATGATTTCTCAACATGTAATTGCTGGATTATTACCCTCAATTCCTGCTCTATTTCCTTGCTGGCAGGATTTGCTGACCTCGATTTCTCTGGATTGTGATGATAAAAATAACTTAAAGCCCCTCTAAAGTGTTGGGAGCCCAAATTTGCCCAATTTATTTTGGAAAAAACTATCTTAAATTGTGCAATGATGTGAAAGGGGATGTCATTTAACACGCACTTCTCAAGGATTTTCAAAAGAAATGTGTCTTAAGACTAATATTGATGACAGAATACCATATTTTTTGGTTAATGTACTATGCAGAAAACCTCAATTATTTTATTCTTTCATAGATATTCATCTTCAAACACATTTATTCTGAAAATCCTTGCAGAAGTTTGTGCTAAATGACATCCTCTTTCACATCCATATTCGATTTAGGTCGATTTTGCCATCAGATATGTTGAGCTCCCAACACTTTAGAGGGGCTTTAATTTAAAGCTCACAAGCAGTGTTGGTGGCAAAAAAAAGTACAGGCAAAAGAATGAATGTTTCTCAAGTTCATGATCAGTTTACTCAAATCCTCCATCCTGTACAAAAAGAGGAAATCAGAATTTAATAGTTCAAATATTTGAGGCATTTGAGGCATTTGAGGCACAGATGGTTGAATGCCCATTGCTTAAACTAAACATGAAGACACATGTAGTTACAATCACCAGACTTTTCATTCCATCTAGCAGACATTAGAATGTCACATGAAGCTCATGTATCACGGACACTCCCCTTCCCCCTTCCTGTGATCACCCCTTGCTCCCCTACCAGCAGTTCCAACAGTCTTCCTGCCTTCTGTCTTCCAGTTTATCCCATTGTCTGCTTGTGTAAGGTTCAGATATGGGGTCGTACACGGCCATGCATTTCCGATGTATTTGCCGCCCCCTTTCACAGGTGTATGTTTTCTTAAATGTTGGTTGAAGCCCATCTGTACTAGTGTACAGGAGGGATTAGACCACCCTGCAAGGTCACTGGACAGGTGGTTATATCTCATCAACTCAGCTCTCAATTAACATAAGGAAAAGAGGATCATGGGGGACCAATGGTCACCAATTATGCTATATGTTGTGCTATTTGTTATATAGAGGGCGCAAGTAGTGCAGTGGGCCTTTAAAAGAGCTTATTGGTAAGCAAGAGGCACAGCAAGAATAAATGCTGATCTTTTTCACAATAAGAAGAAACATAAAAATATGATGGGTGATAAGGGAGTCAGGATACATGTGGGTGGGGAAGCATGGTTCAATTCAATATAATGTGGATCAAACAAGGTCTTTGGATGATATAGATAGGTAAAAACAAAGGAAATGAAATTGTGATTGTATAACTCTGTACATTTGTCAGCAAGGTTTAAAAAAAAAAAAAAAAAAAAAAAAGATTCAATTTTCAGGCCTAACTAAATGTCTGGGCCATATATATTTTAAAAAATTGCTTTGTATGCTACCAAAAAATAAATAATTTTTTTTTAAATAATTGTTAATAAATTTTCTTAAAATTAATTGTAATGTTCTTTTCCTTCTCCCACAGTAAAGAAATTCTACCAAACCGAGGGATTGACCACAAGTATAACATTCTCGATGACGGTACATTGATGATCCAGAATGCTAGCGGTGATGATGAAGGGCAGTATGAGTGCATGGCCAGGAATGCGCTAGGAGAGGTCAAGACCCAACCGGTCAGTCTACGCTACTTTGGAGCTCCAAGTAAGTATTGAACCCCAAACCTCATTCACGCTGCCAAACCGACTCCCCAAAAGCAATCTCGAATCGACCAATTTTTCCTCATTCAGTGTCATGTCATTTCTTGTTCAGACTTTGTTGATATGTAGAGTTGTGGTCTAGTGGATACGCTGTCGGACTGATGATCACAGGGTTTGCAGTTTGAGTCTCGCCACGGCACTAATGTCCTTTGGCAAGACATTAATCTAGATTTGCCACTCTCCACCCAGGTTTTAAGTAGGTACCAGACGGAAGAGATTCTTTGAATGCTGTGAGCACTGTTATCGGTAGCCTATCAGAGCTGGAATAATACTGGGGGGCCTTATGTGTTGGATATTATTATTATTATTATTATTATTATTATTATTATTATTATTATTATTATTATTATTATTATTATTATTATTATTATTATTATTATTATTTATTTGGCATTTCAAACATATAATACAAGGTACAATAGAATGGCACATAGTATACAATGTGCACTTTATAAATATCCAATATGAGGAGTCAAAACCACTTACCGGTACTCCTTGGGTTGGAATTAGGTTTCCACCATCACATCCTTATTGGATGCAAGACTGGTTTCATCCTCTAAGGGAGCAGTTAACCATCCCCAGCTCAACCGATGAATAGAAGACATCACAATTTTTAGCAGGGCCCCTCAAAAAGACTTTTTAATGAAAATCAGTTAACAGAAAACATGACATTATGTTTCATAGAAGCTACAGCTGGGAAATATAATCAGAAGTAAAGTATGCTATCATGTTACTGCTGTCTGTAGTTTCTAGAATGATAAAATGCTTTACATCGTCTGAGAGACATTATGAATTAACGTGACCTTTTTAGTCAATTGATTTTTAATAAAAGTTGCCTGGTTTTGATGAATGCCATCTCAAGTAGTTAGGAAGGAAGTATGGGTTTGCGTGTAAGACTTTATTATGGTTTGTAATCTGAGATGACAAAGCTCTAAATGATCTAGGTCACTGATTTGGGAATTATCTTGACATGGAAATGGATTTGAACATGAGATTATGAATCACATTGGTAGCAAGGTCCCACAGGACTTTGGGTATGTGGGACTAATAGGGCAAATCTGGTGATATCACATTGAAAATCTTGTTGTTCTCTGAATTCAATTTCCTACCAGTGTAGGTCATTATTTCTTCCTACTTATTTCCCCATCACTGCTCCTCTTCCAATCCTCTTCCTATTTCTTTCTCATTTATTTTTAGAGCCATTGTAATTATATAGCATGCTGGAAAACTCTTGGATATGTTTATGAAACTGGAAAAAATATACTTTTGGAAGCAATTAAATGGCCAAACTATAGGTGTTAATGGAAAAAAAAATAGATTGCCACTCCCTTTGTGCATTATAAATTCAATATCCTGACGACGGAAAGTTAACCTGTTTGAAACGTCGAGCCCCTCCTACCACCCACCCTACCACCCATCTACCACCCATCCTCTCCTACGGGTGCTATAGTCCTCTTTAGAACTGTATAAAGCTCAAGAAAGATTACCAACAGTCCTTTTCTGGACGACACACACTCAAGAAAGATAGATTACTAACTGTCCTTCTCAGGACTGCCCAATCCTCCCCCTAAATTAAATATAGGTCTCCTAACATAGTGCTCTTGGGTTCCAAAATTATTCACAATTAAGTGTGGACAAATGATAGCATGTTGAATAACTGAATAACGCAGTTTGGAGTCTATTCAAATGAAAACAAGATAAAACTGAGCTTTTCAGAGTTTCATGTCAAGTGCTCCCCTCTCTTTTCTTCACTTTAATGGAAGAATTTGTTTCATTCGAAACTCTTTACCGGTATCAATAATTCTTCATTACCTTCCATTTGAGAAGCCTGGAATCTGATATGCCAATAACATGCAGGTCAGACCTCAGGTATGTATCAGAGACAAGGGATAGAAGAAGTATTTAAATTGGTACATGGGCTATGTGACATTGTCATAACATCTCTATTAAATACGGAACAGATGTGGGCTGGGGAAACCAGGCAAAACATGAATGATATTTTGTCAGAATGGTCTCCTGTCTTTTGGCAGAGTCCCAGCTGTGCTTGGTATGTGAGTTCTTCTGAGAAGTGGTTGGTTACCACTCTCTGGTGATCCCCATTACATCCCTTAATCCCTGTGCTCCTGTTTGTCTCACTTCTTAGGATTAAGATATGTTACTCTTTCAGCTCTGATGCTGAGGGAAACATGGAGTCCTATTTCACTGTAGTTTGTAAGTTAAAGGGACTATGATGAAATCAAAGGAATTATAATGACAATATGTGTCACAAGTTTTCCAAAGTGTTGTTTGCACCAAGATCTTGTAATCAAGAAAAATCTTCTTTTTTCAGAAATGAAATGTATTAACGATTCCATGTACATGTATATCAAGCTTCTTGCAATTAGTTAGTGATATAGTTGATTGCCTAACACATTAATGAAGACTAAAGAGTGCATTTACAATTGCCAAAGGTACAGGGCCACGAGGGCGTTAACTCTGTTAAAGTATATGAGTCATGTACTCTTAGTAGATGAGTGAAACGTGATTGCAACTTTTCTAGCAGTGATTCTGCCTCTAGTAATACATGAGAAAAAATTTAAAAAAATATCTTTTTTTTTAATACCCTGCTCCATATAGTAGATCTAAAGCCCTTAGAAACTCAGTATATGGGGCAAGTTTTAATTAATTAGACTAGTGGGGCAGCAACCAAATACATTGAGACCTTTAACCCAGTTTAGGATGAGCCTGAAATTGGACTTGATATCGAGGCAGGGGGTGGGGCATGTTATCACCCCTGTTGACATTTTAGTTCAAGACACTATCCTTGCAGGCAAGCTTCCAACGATGTCTGGATGTGACAAATATCTCCATTAAGAAATGCACAGATTAAATAACTTAAAAAGCGTGATTATGAATGTTTCAATTATAATCATCCCTGTTGACATTTGATTTCAAGAAACTATCCTGTTAGGTAGCATATAAGAGTTTTGGATGTGTTAGTTGAGACCAGAACTTCAAAACCTTGATTACAAATGTTCCCAATTAATGATGTCAACATTTCCTTGTCCTGCGTAATGTTGTTTGATGAGCATTTACCTCAAACATTAGGGTTAGATGTCTCAATCAGACAAACAGAGAGCCAACCAGACCTTGCAAAGTTGGCTTTGACTAACGGATGTAAATTGATTAATTACTTAAGAAGACAGCTTCCGCTTTAAGGGCTTTCATATAACTCAGAAAGTACCTTAATTATTTCAATATTGTGTAAGAAGAATTCTTCTTCTTCTAGTAATCTTCAAAGGGCTATGCAGCCTATCATGAAGATGAACTAAAGTTTACAAGGGGTGTGAGGAAGATAATGAGGTTTAATGGGATAGGTGCATTAGATGCCTCAGGAGTAGTCCCTTGAAGTTCTTTAAACTGTCAGCTGTTTTATTCAGGAATAGAGCATTGGGAAAATGCAAACTGCAAGTTGAGGATTGAATTCTGAATGGTGATGAAAGCCTTCAAGGTTTGGAGTTTGGATAGAGTCGGGGGAAATTTCATAGGGGGAGAAAAGCAAACTAGCTCTAGAAATCTACAAAAGAGCTCTGGAAAGTTGAAGGAAAAAGAAGAACTATTTAAAACTGAGAGAAAGCTCTTGAAAACTGAAAGAGGGCTCTATTACTCCAGTTTGAAACAATGCAAGATATGGGAGTTGTTCATGGTACCTTAAGCTGAACATATTTGAAGGTAAATTCGGGCAATCGAAACTTGAGTGCAATTACTTCAAAGGATGTAAAATCTATCAGAGAAACAGATTGTGAAAAGTTTGAAAACACAATCAGAGACTGTTGAATGCAAAGTTTGTAGCATACTCAAGGTTGAGCTTTATCTACATTATTAGAAACTTTGTAAAGATACATAGATTAGATATAATGTAAAATAGTAAATATAAATAGCGTACATTACATTATTTCTTGAGATGTTATTTGACACAGGACATGCAGCAGACCAAAATATGTCTGCAAAGTTGCTTACATAATGAAGTTTGTCAAAAGTGTTTTTAGAACGATGTGATAAGTGATAACTAACCGGTTATTTCCTCTATTTACCTCTCAAAGGAGGCAGACTTGTAATTATCAGTTAAAAATCACAACATTGGTTGAGACTTGTTGGAGTTGCCAATCATGATACTCCCATCATTAGAAGTAATCTGTCTGGTTTCCTTTATTAATTTGTTTTTCTGTCAACTGAACACAAATAAGCATGTACCCAGGATCAATTAACTTTCAAGTGCGAGACGTACATGTATAATTGGGGATGGGAATTTTTTAATTGTATAGAGGTAATTCAGTTAGTCTCCGAGGTGATTCAATCTTGGTTATAGCTTTGTTTGTTAATGATGTTTTGCCTTTATTAAAAATAGTGTCTAAGACAGAAAGGCATTAGTTTACTATTGATAATGATTAAGTAAAAATTCAACTTAAGTAAAAATGGGGCAAAGATTGGTAACAAGTGAAGTTAAAGAGTTAAGGTTGTTCATTTTTGGTGAAAATCGAAGGGGGGGGGGGATCAGGCGGTCTTGTCAAATTTCATATTGTTTAGGGATAATTCAGCTAGTCTCTTACTCAATTTTATCTTTGTTATAGCTTGTTTGTTTTCAAGGTTTGCTCATGGATACTTAAAGATGTTTCAAACAATGTTTGTCCATTTTTGTTTGATGTTTGATTGCTACTGATATACATGTAATATCCTAGGGCTGCTAGATTATCAAACTGTGCGACCTTTTCACCCTTTCTTTCACTACATATTTTCATTAAAGGCTTTTGCACTGAAAAACTGCTATATTTGTATCATTTTTTGGTTCTATGATAATACATAATTTGTCTCACCAATATAGATTTTTTGTTTGTTTTTGAGTTTCATTAAAAAATCTATATCTACAGTACACTAGACTTATAAATGTAAATAAACATCAATGCCTTATATGCTTAAATGCTGGTATTTTTGTACGTTCTACTTGTATTTAAAGTTAGTAAATGTTGTGTAAGCGAGCTTTGGGTTCATGAGAAATAGAGCTTAGGCGAGACCACAGACCATAGTGAGGTGAGGTATGATGCACGTGAGTCTGATTAATAGCTACTCATCCTGGTGTCAGTATAGATTAATGATTGTGGTTTAGGGAGTGAAGGAACAGACATGGTGGAGAGATGGTTAAGTGATATTTCCAGGAAACATGGAATGGTCAGATTGTTGATTGATTCAGACATCAGTCAAGGTTTACACTAATCATAGTTTTAATTTCATTCCCATTTTTCTAGGGGGTGACCTGCTTTTTAATTTGATAGACCGGTTTATTAACATATTCAAATTTATGGATGTTTCTTCCTGGGACCTAGTGACAAGGTATTCCATTAAACTTATATTAATGAGTGAACTACAATACTTGGAATCTTATCTACACACTTTGACATTACTTGTCGCTATGTCAGGCAAGGCTTGGACAAGCTCTAAGTTGTCAAGAACAACCCCTCTTTATACATCATGCTTGTTAGTCAACTGGTCTTTTAACAAGTAATACAGATCAGAAGATATTTTGTTATGATCACATATAATTCCTCTGTGTTTTGTTTTGTAATTGATGCTAACCTAGCTATCATGTTCAGGTTTTATCCATATTTGATTTGATTTTGGGGGTTTTGTTTTGGAGGAGAAACAGGCACAAGGGTGTTCTTTTTCTTAAGATAAAAGTAGTCTGAAGATGGATGGAAAGGAAGTCTTTTTTATTATGATGTTATGGATTTACTCATTGTAATGATAGAATTTTTTTGTCAACTGAAATGCTAAAAAAATGGAAAAGAAAGGAAATTGTGCAAAGAATGTTGATAATGAAGTTAAGAATTAAGGTTATTCTTGTTTGGTTTGGTGAGGTGTGTGTGAGGGGGGGGGGATGAAGGGGGGCATCGGGGCAGACACCTCAAATATCAACTGGTGCATGTAAATCATGTAGAAGGTTCCTGTCTAGTCATCTAATGGTGATTAATACTGTCTCTTAATTCACTGAAGCTTGTTGTGTGGAAGCTCCTGTCAAGGTTATAACAGATTCCAGACTTTTGACGGGTTCAGTAGAAGGTTGAAATACACTGCTGTTAAAGAGAAAGTTGAGTTCTGGGAAGAGGTGGGAAATAAATTGTGAGCATTATCATTGTTATTATGCAAGTGTGGAAGAAAATCAGATAAAACATGCTCCCTGAAAAGCATGGCTCTTCAAATGCCTTCAAATTCTAAATATGGAATGTAACATCGTAAAAATCGGGGACGGATTTTTACGTCACATGTTTGTGTAGTCCCATATACATCTTTCTGTGTACAGTGTTTGTAACTTTACCAAGACTTGGCCAAATTTCTTATCATTTTGATGATTCCAGAACCTTGCAGTACACACAAATACTTATATGCTAGAAGATCAACCTTTTCTGATCGACTCCACACCGTTTCTTTCACAATGCAATCGCATGACCAGAACTCAACTTTATCTTTAACCTCTCCTCGTAGTATATGCATGGCTAGGTCTGCCTTGGAATACCGGTACAGAGGATGTGGAGGCAATTAGTGGAGTCCTGTTTACAACTTGTGCCGGAGAACAAAGGACATAAACATTGAGCTTCAGAGACATAGATCTATTAATCCCTTCCCTGCTGCTGGTGGCAAAACCATATTAAAGAATTTAATGTTTGGATTAGGAAGAATTATAAAATAATCTATACGTGCATATTTGCATAGTGAGGTTTAATTGTTTCTTTTGCAGGTTGTATAGTGTACCATCAAATTTGACTCCTCAGGGTGTATTTATAGTTATATATTTATAGTAACATAGAAAATAAAAACAAGAGGATTTGGAGAGTAGATGAGAGAAGGATGGCACAGGACAGAAAGTCAACATCTAGATATATGTATAATTTGTTTAGGTCTGTGAATGTATGATAGTTTTCATTATTTATAATGTGGTTTGTAAAACAGTAAAGTTTTATAGCATTCATAGGAAGATGTAGGAGAGTGGAAAATTAAATATCTTTGACTCCATACCATAAACCTTAACACATCTCTCTTCTTTTTGTCCCTCCCTTATCTCTCTCTCTCTCCTCATTTCTCCCTCATTTTTGTGTGTCTTAATCTTGCCCTCTTTCTCTTAAACTCTTACACTTCGATCACTTTCTTTTTCTTCCTCTCTCTCTCCGTCACTCCCCTCCCTCTCTCCCTCTTTCCTTCTCTCCCTCTTTCCCTTCCTTTCTCTCTCTAGGAGCACCAGTCTTCACGTTTGTCCCTGAGGATGTAGAGTTCCGTGAGAGTACCTCTGCCGTGATCCACTGCGCTGCCAATGGCTACCCCCTCCCTAGGATCTCCTGGACCAAGGAGGGGGCCAACGTGGTGGAGAACACAAGGTTTCGGATCCTGTCTACTGGGTCGCTTCACATCTCAAACACTCACTTCTCAGATGCGGGTGATTACCGGTGTGATGCGACCAACAGCCTGGATACGCTCTCAGCTACCGCTACACTCAGTGTCTTAGGTAAGAATATATAAAGGTAGTAGTGGTGGTTATTTTACCTGACTGCTAAGAAAGCATAAATGCTTGTTAGTAAGCAACCAGAGGACTGACAGCTTTAGGTCCTCTCCGAGAGACCTGGTGATGAGGAGTAATGCCTTACCGAAGGGCACTAGTGCATTGCCTTGGTTCGAACCCGGGTCACCGGATTACGAGAACACTGCTCTACCAACTGAGCTATCGCGCCTTCTCAAGTTGTGGTCCAGTGTATAAAAGTCTCCAGGCTTATATCCACGAGAACCACGCGGTTCGCAGCACCAATGTCTTTTGGCAAGACATTAATCTACATTTGCCACACTCCACCCATGTGAGGTAAATGGGTACCTGGTAGGGAATAATTATTCATGGTAGCTCGGCGAAAGCAGGGTAATACCTTAAATACCTTAATAGGATTGCATGAAGTAAGTGACTTAAAGCATTTCTTTTTGCATTTGGTAAAGTTCATAAAGAATATCGTGCATGTTTGATACCATTAAGCAAATAGTTGGTACATGAATACTTCTCAAACTTTTGACTATTTACTATTGTGTGGTTGACCATGTACCTATTTCCTGTAGCTGTTTCAAAAGTTATTTTTCAATGAGAAAATATTTGTGGGTACAATTTGAATGCCAAATCCTTGCTAATTCAACCAAAGTTATCGTCACTAACATGTTTGTTTTCTTTGTTGATTTAGTGCCTCCAACCTTTGAACTTGCACCACAGCCCCAGTCAGCTATAGAGGGTAGCACAGTAGAACTTCACTGCCGTCCGCAAGGTTATCCACTACCTGTCATTCAGTGGAGGAAAGATTGTAAGTGTTTGAATTCTTCCTTCTTGTTTTCAAAAGAACAGTAAACGACATTGTTAGTGTAGTAGGCTATCATATAGTCGGCTGAGAACTTGAAAAGTGTCAACATGAATTCAGATTCATTATAAATGTAAACTGTAATTAGTTCAAGCATTGATCATGCAGCAATTTTAATGTAGAGGCAAGAAGAATGATGCTTACAATAGTCTAGTTGATACAGAAAAAAATCTGAACAGTACCTGCACAGTCAAAACAAAAATAGGCGTACATGAAGTGGCAAAATCTGCAGAAAAAGATTTCCAAAAAGCTGTGCTTTAGAAGCTAAGTCATTTTAAAATGACTTAGCTTCTAAAGCACAATTTTAGAGGATCAGGTACTGCTTTTGCCCATGAAGCAGGCTTTATTCATCTGGACTTATTTATGTATTTCAAGCTAAATTCGGTATATCCTCTTCCTCTCTGCAGATTTTCTTTGTCTCCTTCTAAGATATCTTGGTGTGGTATGCCTTTAGGGAACAGCTTTCAATCAAGATTATGGCGCTATTAATATCAGGCTAGGAATAGAATCAACCTCACTTTAACATTTTCACTAGCCTCAAAATCCAGACATTCTGCATATTCTTGTTAAGCAAGTTAACCTCAAGGTTTGGTGTAATTTTTAAAGGGCCAAGCGTATCGAGGGGCAACCTGTATTTTTCCCCCTGGTGTATGGGTTTCTATTTCCTGCTGCAAGCGATATGTAATTAATGAAATTAAAATGTTTACTGTTCAGTGTCAAATATTGCCATGCTGCATGTACAGCTGTATGCATGGCCGAAACATTAATATGCAGAATATTGTAATTGATCAAAGATAGTCTCAAAAGTGTTAGAGATATTGATATGAAACTTAATAGGCTTATTCATTATAAGTCACTCCATTAACATAGTTTGAGAACTTTTCATTGCATCGTGATAGATCAGAGGGTAGGTTGAGAATCAATGACATCTTGAAAATAAGCTATTTTCGTAAAGTAACCAAGTCTTAAAGCCTAACTGCACTAGTTTGGCCAAGAGGGATTAGACCTCCCTGCATGGTCACTGACAGGTGGTTATCTCATCAAATCAGCTCTCAATTAACATAAGAAAAAGAGGGTCATGGAGGACTAAAGGGTACCGCTTAGGCATTGTTTGTTTGCGCAAGTAGCTACAAGTAGTGCAGTCCCACTTTAAGACTTACTGGGTGTCATTATAGGAAATAATTAAGGTTCAGGAAAAAACTATGAATGTAGAAATTAATAGAAAGGCATGGTGTCTATTAACTGAGTGATTATTTTTTTTACATTACCAGGGTAATGTATGACAAACCATTTCTGTGTATGGATGCACTGCAGATATTTGATTGACAGTTGATCTATTTTGGGGGGAGTTTAAGCGGAACTGTTTTGACTGATCTATTTCCTATATTTGACACCCGAATCTGTTTGTATCTCATGCAGCCACCTCTCTACCAGATGACAGGAAGTTCCTGATCCTAGCGTCAGGGACGTTGAGGATCATCCGTGTATCTCAAGAGGATGCTGGTAACTATGAATGTATAGCAGTCAACAAGGCGGGTCAGAGACAGAGTATGGCCCAGGTGGAGATCAGAGCTAGAGGTAGGTTCATTAATTAGCCTTCCAAGTGCATATTGAGAAGTTCATGTACTCTAATGAAAGGCTTTAAAGCATTTTCATGCTGCAAAATAGCAGAATTAAAGGGAAAGTCCACCCCCAAAATAAGCTTGTTTCGATAGAGGCAGAATAATAAGAAAATCAGGTGAGTGAAAGTTTGAGCAAATTCTGAATGAAAATAAGAAAGTTATGAATTATTGAAGTTGTGATCAATCAAATACAAATTGGCAACTCTGTGACTTATTATACGAGCTCTCCTTCATTTGCTTTGTGCATAATATTCCATAACATCATGTTTTCTTCGTTATTGATGACGGAATATATATTTGTTCCTTGCAGGGGGAGTATAGAAACATATTTGCAATTATTATATTTAGGGTGCATGTATGGTTGAAATTTTTCTTGAGGGAAAATGAAAATTTTAGATTTTTTTAGTACTGAGCAAATGGAAGTTGAGCTCGCATGATACGTCATAGAGTTGCCAATTTGTGTTTGATTGATCACAACTTCAAAAATCCTAACTTCCTTATTTTTAATTGGAATTTGCTCAAACTTTCACTGACTTGTTTCTCTCATTTTTCTACTCCTATTAAAACTAACTTAATTTCAGGGTGGACTTCCCCTTTAAGAAATCATGCATTGTTTAGAATTTGTAAATGTTTATGCTTCAAAACTGCTTTGTTAGTAGTGATTGTTTATATTTTATAGTTTAAGGTTCAAGATTGCACTTATGAATAAAAATTCCCAATTTAAACAAAGACTAAACACTCTGCGTGACCTTTAAAGGTACTATGTCCCATTTGCAGGCCCAAAAAATGAAAAGGTTAAATTCCAATGGCATTTGAATGATAATTCTAATTTAGAACTTCCCTTAAAAAAAGGGGGCTTGAAAATGTCTTTAAGTGGGAAAATAACGACTATTAGTTGTCAAATCAAGTTAGGAGCTATAGAGCCAGTAAGTATAGTCTGATTTTCAGACCATTGTACTGAATGGTCGTACGTTTTATGCTGCACAAAGATTCAATCAGTTTTATTTTGGCCATTACAAGAAGTGGCGTATTGGTAGACAAATGCTCATGTACCCTTTACAGCTCCTTTTATGTACGACAGAAATAACCGTCTGGTATGGGGCATTCTTTAATAAAACTGACATTTGTCGACATTCCCCATACAAGGTCTAGTGGAGCCAGACGTAGTCTCAGTGGAACAACCGACGATATAGAGAGACTGAAGCTTTTGGTCTAATCTTATGTATGTTATTACCAATTAAGAAAAAAAAAGCCAGTCAGTCACTCAATAGTGTCTGACAGTGAAGTCTGGCAAGTAAACAGGTTTCCTTGCATAATAGTCAGTCTATGCTCATGACAGACAGGCGACGAGATAAGATCATCGTGGAGGTGTGGGGATGAATTATGGATGGAAGAAAAGGGAAATTATGATTGAAGACCTACAATATAAATCAGATATGAGGAAGAAAGCCAAGAGTGTTTTCACTTTCCTGTATTCAAATGAGAAATGTTGTGAAATCTTTATAAAACGCATAGTACAGCACTTCATTTTCTTTGCTTGGATTTTCTACTCAAGGCATTGACAGGATATTGCATCAAGACATTTTAAATTGATATACTTCATTGACTTGTATTACTTGTTTTCCTAGGAATTTTCCAAATTTCTGATATAATGCAATTGGCCTGGTGATTCAAAGAAGAACTCACAAGAATCAAAAAGAGAATTTTTCGCAAATTTATGTAGTAATAAATATATTGATAAATGTGCATTAATTCATTTATTCATTTATTTTCCACTTCTCATAATTTACATACATTATCTGATTAATACAACAAAATAAAATGAGAAAATAGCATAACAATATTCAACAAATTTAGAGCACCTAGAATAAATACGTGAGACTGTGGTGGAGCCAACAGAGGCCATTGACCTATCAAAGGTCTTGTCTCAGCTGTTCTAACAGTCCATATCTCATGAATATTCATGTTTCAGTCCCACCCGTATTCAACCAATCACCAAGTGACTTGACGGTGGTTGCTGGGGCTACCATTCGCCTGCCCTGCTCCGCCTCCGGGGATCCCGAGCCACTCATCACTTGGACTAAAGATGGAGTCCAGATCACAGAGAGTGCAAAGTTCTCTATCAGCGAGGCGGGTCATCTGGCCATCCATGATGTCGGTGTGGACGATGACGGACGTTACGAGTGTGCGGCTAGAAACACTATTGGTTATGCTTCTACAGATATGGAGCTGACAGTTAATGGTAAGAAGGAAGAAGAGAGGGCTGATCACATTCACAATTACAATAAAATCAATCATTGTCGGCCAATTCACTCTAATGAGCCCAATGAACAACAATGTCCTCTGACTCAATAGTTTCAACGTCTGTATGCGTAGTATGCTCATGATCTCATGTTCAATGGCCAATAATAATTATACGTAATTTACTCTTATTGTATTTCATGGTGGAGGTTTAAATCATGGTTGAGACCTTGCTTTAAATCAAACCTCCTTTGTGAAATCGGGCCATAAATTTGTCTACATAGAACGATTTGATTGTCATCATTGCTATCGTCAAAAGGCTCAGTTTTTGTACTTCATAAATCACTATAGAGCCCTGAATAAGACAGAGTATTTCATCTTTTGAGCCCACATTGTGTATTCAGTAGAATTCATATATCCCAATGCTGCCACCATATTGAAAGACCAGGGACCTGTTTCACAAAGCCTTTATTCAATGACAAATGACAAAAACCAGTGACAAATCTCTTGATAACCAATCAGAAGCAAGGATTTCAGTAGCTTATAACAAAAACTGTCATTTGTCAATGATGACAAGTTTTTGTGAAACGCCCCCCTGATGGACGGATAAATAAGAGATCATTGTAGACAATGTTCATGTATCTTGAAAGTGCTTTATTCTGGTGTCCTTCCACCAATTGCGGCCTCATTACACACCTCAAAGGTGTTGTTCATATAGTACCACAACAAATTCTAGTTCCTTTCTTTCTCTTCATTCAATGCAGTTTCCATCGGTACATCTCGTGAGGGTGATAGCTTCGTCAACTCGGCCATAGCGGAAGCAATCCGCAACATCGACGCAGCCATCAACGAGACCAATCGCAACCTGCTGGACGGGAAGAAGCCACGTACGCCGCATGACCTTCTGACCCTGTTCAGATTCCCATCCATCGAGGCAATGAGTATCGCGAGGGCAGCGGAGGTTTTTGAGAGAACGCTGGAGCTGATTCATAATCATATTGAAGCTGGAATGCAAGTTAATCTTACAGGAATAGGTCAGTAGTATCCTCTCTGGTACTTTCACAACTCTATTCCTGGATTCTACTTATTTTTCCTTGAGTTAAATGTACATGTACATCTATTATTTTCTTTATTTATGTCTTTTGAACTTTCGGGAGCTAAACCATCCTGCTCCTGTGTTGTATTTGCTAATTGGCTAACATGTTCAATTGCAAAATTCCAGAAACATATTCTTCCATCATTAAATTATAAATGCCTCCATGGATATGTCAAGTTTGTTTCAACCTTTCATCAGCTCTCACATGTAATTTTGCAGAATGAAACAGATTTTGGACAGATATCAAATCAATGCAGGAATGTTAAACTTTAAATTTAAGAATTACCTTAGGTTCAAAATTCTTATTACAACAATTAATATGAGTGGTATATCATCTGTATTGAGCCAGGTGTACCCTAACTCATCATTTGACACAGAGTTAATGCCCTTCTGGGCCCTGTTGCACAAAATTTACCATTGATGGTAACTTTGCCATTAATGGTAACTACCATGGAAACCTTGATTTTGATTGGCTGATGAGCCATATTACCGTGGTAGTTGCCATTGATGGCAAAGTTACCATTGATGGTAATGGTGCACTGGCTCCAAACAGAAGATATGTAAACTGTAAACCTGTCTTGTCACACAAGACATCAACTGGACCATGGCATCATTAGTTCTGTAAATGTTATCTCTTGTTTTGTCTGTCTCTTTCCGCAGATTTCACATATAATGACCTGGTTTCACCTCGCTTCCTCAATCTCATCTCCAATCTCTCCCAGTGCACCGCCCACACGAAAATCACCAACTGTTCCGACGTCTGTTTCCACAAAAAATACCGTACTTACGACGGAACCTGCAACAATCTTCAGCACCCTGAATGGGGCGCATCGCTCACTCCTTTCAAACGACTCTTAAAACCGATTTATGAAAACGGGTTTAACACGCCTGTTGGCTGGAATACAACACATCAGTACAATGGTTTTACAAAGCCAAGCGCAAGGGGGGTTTCGTCAGGGGTTGTCTCTGCGGCGGAAATAACTTCACATAAGGATTACACACATATGCTCATGCAGTGGGGTCAGTTCCTGGACCATGATATGGACTTCACGGTGACGAGTTTGAGTCGTGCTCGGTTCAGCGATGGTGTAGAATGCAAGGATACGTGTGACAATCAGGTTCCTTGTTTCCCTATTCAGGTTCCAGAGGGCGACAGACGGATCCATCGTACGCAATGTATCGAGTTCACCCGATCAAGCGCGGTGTGCGGCAGCGGAAGCACTTCAGTGTTCTTCAATAGGATCATGCCTAGGGAACAAATCAATCAAATCACATCCTACATTGATGCCTCTAACGTGTACGGCAGTCATAAAGAACTAACAGATAATCTAAGAGACTTGAATAATGATTACGGTAGGCTTAAGGTAGGATTACAGATGGGCTCAGGGCGTTTCCTGCTACCGTACAATCGTGACACCCCGATTGATTGTGATCGTGATGAAGACGAGAGCCCTATTCCTTGTTTCCTTGCGGGAGATTTCCGAGCAAATGAACAATTAGGTTTGCTTTCCTTGCATACAGTCTGGATGAGGGAGCATAATCGTATCGCTCAGAAACTGCGTGAAGTCAACACCCACTGGACTGGGGAAAACGTTTTCCAGGAAACACGTAAGATCATTGGAGCAGCCATGCAGCATATAACATACACCAGTTGGCTTCCTAAAGTCCTTGGACCAAGAGGAATGGAGATGATTGGAAAGTATGAGGGTTACAACCCTAACACGGATGCAGCTATTTTCAATGCATTTGCAACAGCTGCCTTCCGCTTCGGTCACAGCCTTGTTCAGCCAATCGTGAAGCGCCTCAACTCCACCTTCCAGCCCATCTCCCATGGCAACCTCCCCCTCCATCGAGCGTTCTTCTCTCCGTACCGCATCGTCGATCAAGGTGGCATTGACCCAGTCCTGAGAGGTCTCTTTGGATCTGCGATGAAGAAACCAGATCCATCAGAGATGGTTAATACTGAGCTAACAGAACACCTATTTGAGATGGTACATGAGATCGCTCTGGATCTTGCCGCTATAAACATCCAACGAGGGCGTGACCATGCGTTGCCGGGTTACAACGACTATCGTGTACTATGCAACATGACCGCTGCCCGAACATTCAACGATATCAGCTCAGAGATAGGAAATCCAGAGGTTAGGAGGAAGTTAGAAGAACTCTACGGTCATCCAGGGAATATTGACTTGTTTGTTGGAGGACTGGCTGAGGATCATCTAGAGGGCGGTCTTCTAGGACCAACCTTTACTTGTCTGCTAGCTAAACAGTTCCATCGGCTTAGGGAAGGAGATAGGTCAGTCAAAGTTCTTTTATTTCCTTTTTAACTAGATTAAAGCTAGAAAATCCTTGTCTTTTTTGGATCGAGAGAGGTAAAGATCGATATATGGTGTAGGGTTGCATCCATAAATCATCATAGAGCCTAGTTATTACTTGATTTTGTTTTATTGCCCAAACTTTTATAACACTTGTTCTCATAAAAAAACATCCTTAAAACTAGATGGAACTTCGACTGCGCGCAGTCGAAAATGATGCCTCCGTCATAGAGCAATTTTACAAACCAAAACAGAAGAAATTTTTCAAATTCAAGTTCAATTGTAATCCATTAAGAGGTTCTCAGAATATCGTGATTACAAGCAATTTCTCATATACATATATGACCCTTTGATCTTTGACCTGATGACCCTAAAATCTACTCAGTTCATTGGCTCTGCAAGATGTCCTGAGTTAAATAGTAATCCATCTGTCAGTTCTAATGAGAATGCGTTCACAAGTTATTTTTGGATACATAATGAGCCCATGACCTTTGACCTCATGACCCATGAATCTACTCAGTTCATTGGCTCTGCAAGATACATACATGATCGAAATTTGGCAGGAATCCATCAATCTGTTCTAATGAGAATGCGATCACAAGCTATTTTTGCATACATAATGAGCCCTGTGACCTTTGACCTTTGACCTCGTGACCCCAAAATTTATTCAGTTCATCGGCTCTGCAAGATACATACATGACCAAAGTTTGGCAGGAATCCATCGATCGGTTCTTGAGATAATGCGATCACGAGCTCTTTTTGCATACCTAATGAGCCCTGTGACCTTTGACCTTGTGACCCCAAAATCTAATCAGTTCATCGGCTCTGCAAGATACATACAAGACCAAAGTTTGGCAGGAATCCATCAATCGGTTCTTCAGATAACGCGATCACGAGCTGTTTTTGCATACATAATGAGCCCTGTGACCTTTGACCTTTGACCTCGTGACCCCAAAATCTAATCAGTTCATCGGCTCTGCAAGTAACATACATGACCAAAGTTTGGCAGGAATCCATCAATCAGTTCTTCAGATAACGCGATCACGAGAACGGGACGTACGGACGTACGGACGGACGGACGGACAACCCGAAAACATAATGCCTCCGGCTACTTCGTAACGGAGGCATAAAAACTTGATGATAACCCAATGGATTGGCTTTCAACCAACCTTCCCTGATTGCAACCATGCGCACAAACCAATCAACAATGAAATAGAACCTGACAGTGTTTCAAGCAATAGAACACACGGTTTCATTCAAAGTGATTTCTAGCAAGTTTTCAATAATTTTTGTTTTTTGTTTTTTGCATTTTGCTTATCCAAATTGCCAGTCTCCTGCATGATAAAGAGTTTAGATTTAATTTAATGAGAAACATAGCATGGGTTCTCATGGGGAATTTGTCACCTTGCGGGAATTCCCCAGATAACAGATATTATCTATCATCACATTTTTAGGACCACCAGGTCTTTGTTGCCCTGCATTTTCCATTAATTGCCTTTTAAGATATAGTCATATCATCTTCGATTTGTCCTCAGCTCTTGGTGGGACATCCAACTCACTAGGCCATCATGTATTTCCACCAAGTCCAAAGTTATTATGACATCTGAACATGGAAACTGCTGGCTATATCCCTTTAAAGCCAGTTTTTCTCAAAAAGCATTTCCATTTATTGAACCTGGAGATAAGTTTTAAAGGTAAAGACCGGTAGTGGTAACATTGCAGTTCAATGGTTTTAGGTGCAGAATATACATTCAATATTATTTAAATATTGCCTGATCATGGCAATACTTCGACCTAAATTCTCAAAAAGCAGAAATATATGCCCAAATGTTCAATGTTAAAGTGCATTCACGATATCTATCCTGGCCAAATATATCAATTAGTAGGCAGTCTTCCGGCAAAAGTTGTATCATCATGTATTAGTCAAAACATACTCTTTTACATGATTGGTAATAAGAGCTTCCATTTCATTTTTTGAGAGGGGGGCGTTTCCAATACTGGTCTATTCCTTTAATCACTCCTAACTTGGTCTATCCACTTGGCTTCCATGCAGGTTCTGGTATGAGAATCCCGGAGTGTTCTCTCCAGAGCAGCTGACTCAGATCAAGCAGATCTCCCTGGCTAGAGTTCTCTGTGACAATGGAGATTCCATAGACCGGGTGAACCAAGATGTCTTCCTACTGGCAGACTACCCAACAGGATACAAGAAGTGTAGCAGTGTCCCATCCATGGATCTTAGACTGTGGGCCGAATGCTCAGAAGGTAAGCATTTGATTTGATTTGATTTGATTTGATCTACCAATATAAAAACATATAAATAACAATATACAGTATAGCATGAAGAAAATAACATTGGATGAATCGGGCTCTGTCTTATGAGGACTTGCGATTGATCCAAATCAATCGCAAGTCCTCCAATCAGACGCAAGTTTGCAGCCCCTTTCTCTTATGTATAGTTGCAATTGATATCAACTCTTTATAAGATGGGACCGTGCATGGTCTCCATACATTCAATGGATGTGACATATTTAACATTTCATATTGTTGCTTTACCACAGGTGCTGCTCTTGCAGGTACTTTCAGTCGATCACGTCGGTCAGTACCCACCTACAGTCAACCAGCCCCTAAGGCGGCTGGATCACAGAAAGCCATACCCAAGGATCCCAGCAGACGACAGAAGTTTGTTGAAGTAGAGATTGATGCTGTGGAAACAATAGAGGGCACTACACAGGAGGAACAGACCGTTTCGCTAGAGACACAGGTTACAGAGATGCGAGCTCAGATGAGAGAAATGCAAGCTTCGATTGATGAATTACAAAAACAGGTTAGTCGATAGTTTGTGAAAGTTTAAATGTAACCCAAATAAGACAGGCAAATCCTTAAAGTGCAGTCACCCAAAAATATTTTGTACTTTATGTTAGTAGTTCCATGTCATTATACTATATTCAAAATATGAACTTCAAATATTACTTCTGAAAAAGACATTTCAAAAGTTTTAAAATACTCTCAATTAACAGAAAATAGCCTAGTGAGTAGACTACTCCAGAAAACTACTCCAGAAAACTTGTACGTGCTCGCATACAATAGGGCACAGTGCGCAGTTTTTAATTATTCTTTTTTTAACGTTTGTTAATTTATGACCAAATTGACCATATAGTTATGAATATTTGCTAGCATATGCAATTTTGAATAGGTTTGTTTATCTTGACATTGTCTTTAAAAAATGGTAAGGCTCATATAAAAGTAGGCCAAGTTTTACTTGTACACCATACAGCAATCACTATTATAGTGATTGCTGTATGGCAATATAATAACACATATAGCACATATAGCACTATAATAGTGCTATATGTTTTTAAAGATAAGCTACACATTATCTATAATATTGTCAACTTGATACATACATGTATAATGTACATAACTATTTGCTGATATACAGGAGGATATATATATATGTATTTATGGTACTGGTACCTAATTTGAATCTTATTTCCCATTATATTCACAGGTTCAACTACTAGAACGTGGCAGGAGAGGAAAACGGCACAGAAATTGACCTCGCCTGAACTAGCTGTGACCTTTGACATTTGATTCCGGTCGCCCCAGTCATGGTCCGGTCGCACGCCCAGCAGTGGTTTACGGCAGGTCACTATGTTTGACAGACTCTGTGTGTACCTTCATCTACCTGTACTGCAAGTTGCTTTAAGATAACTCAAGTGATGAATTGAGTTAGGATCCTTAACGTGCCTTGTTAATGGGTCTATTTTATTTTTTACTTTGCAGTGATGGACACGGTGCTAAAGAGCGATTATGTTTCTTAGCAACCATTCTCTAGATTCCTGTGTGTTGTTGTAAATCATTCACTCTGATAGCTATGCTGACTTTTATCTTTCTCTCTAATATACCAAGACCTTTTTAACGAATAATTGAGTCTTTTAAAAAAAAATCTTAAATATTCATGAACAGTACAACTGTATGGTAATATCTCATTGAGGCATTTGACAATTGTATAAAAGCTTAAACAATTTTATCATGTAATAAATAATGTAATTTTTTATTATTAATATGATAATTATTGTATCAGAGACTTTTTACATGTTAAAGTGTACAATATGCCAATAATTTCCACTTTTTAAGAAGTTGCAAGTTCTATGATGACACTGTATATTTATCAATGTACCCTTGTTCTTTGTAATAATATTTCCATTTTTAACAAATAGCAAATTATTGTTTTTAGCTCACAATACTCAATTAGAATAAAAACTCCTTGAAAAAGTACTTTCTTTTTGCATATGTAAATGAGTTTTTTTTTAAATTTCAAAACATTTTGTAACTTTCACTTTTCTTTCCTTGTTTACCGAGTCATTCGTATTTCACTTTTGCATACACATATTTATTTTTCATCACTTAGTTATTTATCTAATTTGTATTTTAATGTTTTCAGTTCATTCTTTACTTGTAGATAGCACTTTTTATGCCATTATTAAGGACAATCACATTTCTGATACCCTGGTCTAGCACTTAAAACCTAATGGCATTAATGCTTAAACTCTTGTTCTAGCTTCATGACAATGATTCTGCTTACGTTATTAGAAATTACTGTTATTAATTAGCAGCATTCTCATGAACGTGCACAGACATTCAAATTGGCAATGCAAAACTGCACTAGGCTCATACACTGTCAGCCCTACATCTTTTTCAGGGGTAGAAAAACTATAGCTTCAGTATTTGACAGTTGATGAAGTAGGGTTTTAAGACAGACAGACAGACAGACAGACAGACCAAGTAGCAGAAAGTGTACATTTTTCAAGTATAGAGGATCAGCAATGAATAATTTGCTCGTTAGAATAACCTCAAAAAATATATTTATCTCAATAATCTTTTTGTACTTATGTGAAAAACTGGAAAGTCGAACGTAAATGGTGCTAAACATATCTTTGTGTACATTACCATTGTATTATAACTACTTACATGTAAGAAAAACTGTGTGTTTTGTTGGGTTCAATTTTGATAAGAAGATGCAATGCTATCGTTAAATAAGTGTCATTGTGCACACCCTCTTAAAAGTGCTCTTTGACTATTTAGGCCTATATTTTTTTGTATTTCTGTATAGAGATAAAATTTGTACTTGAAACATATCTCTATTTTTAACCTTCCCTTGTTTTGCAAGAATCTGCATCTTAATTAATAAATTCATGGCTATATACATGAAAACTATGTTACACACGTATGAGTACAGATGTATGTAATATTTAACATGTTATATCAGATATTTTTTCTTTCAATTGTACTGCAAATCCTCTTTTAAATTAGTAGCAGAAATTTGTAAAGAAATTTACCCCAAATCTGTTATTTTTTATCATGACTATGTGTATAACTTGTAACTTGTAAGCAAGTAATAAGTAGCATATTTGGCATGAATGATTTATTGTGTCTTAGTATTTTGAAGTGATTTTTATACCCTTTAATTCTATTTTCTAATTTAAAAAACAAACAAAGCTGCAAAGGGTTTTGATTTTTTTCTTCAAATTAAACCTGATTTGCTCTATACTTGTATTATAACAATGAACTGCCGGACAGAGAATTTTGTCACTATTTTTTTCATATTTTCTTTTAAGAATGTACTACCTTGTGAACCTAAACTATTTATGTGTATTTTCATGGATACTTATGTTTTATATATTTGGAACTATTTTACCACTACAATTCAACTAGCTGAGTTTGATTTACTAGACTATATGAGATTGGCTTTCACTCTGCCCATGAACACACAATCCTTGATGATTTTTATCATTGGTAATTATCCTTGTGTTGTGTTTTGGCACGTAAAGTTCATTACTTTTATTTTTCATCGTTTTATGTATACTTCTGCTGCATGCATACTCAGGGAAGTTTTCAAATAAACTTCAACATTTCAATTTAGTTCATTCTTCTGCAATGACGTTCATTTTTAACGTTTATCATACAATGCTTTTAAAAAGAATATACAGTATTGCTCATGCTTGTTGTGGAAATTGGGTAACGTGTATGCCAGTCAAACATTTCCCTTCATTGATCTATGTATTAAAATTAGTCGATTAAAACTTCTGTATGTTTAGATAACCTTTTCAAGATATCTTATATCTGATATTTTATACAGCCGGTGTGTGACGTTCCATTGAGACACAAATGTCAAAGGTTTCCCTTAAAGGGCACTGCAACCTTTGTAATAAGTTCATTTGTATGAAAGCAGAAAACTAAGAGAAACAGAATAGTATAAGTTTGACATAAAATGGACCAATAATGAGTCATGAATGTTTGAAATTAGAGATCACTATTGCCTTCTCCCTTGGGACACTACTCAAAATACATTATGGATAGAATATTAGTATAGGTTCTCTAAAAAAGAAAAGACACTCCTAAGTCAAACATTTTGAACAATTTAATTTAAGTCATTTTGTGTGTGGGGATAGGAACTATGTCTGGCAAATTCCCAGATACATAGTGATTACAACTTCCAAAAAAATTAAAAACTTAAATTTTTTTGTCCGATTTCTATAAACTTTAACCTGTCTGATTCTCTGAATTTTCTGCTCTCTTTTTATACAGTACCGGTAGTTTGCTTTGAAGGTTGGATTTCTCTTCAAAGAAACCTCACACATAAATTCATGTATCTCAATTAAAGAGAAGTGTTATTGTTTTGTAAAGCTCTTTTGTACGCTCTGAAGATGGTGCTAGACGCTGACATTTTGGGTCAGTTTGATGATGTTTTGATAATCATTGTGGAGAAGCAATCGATACTTTATGTATTACTCGCCGTCTTCCTTTAATATCAATCATGTGTCAATCTTTGTTTATTTAATTTCTTATTAAGCATTTAATTTTTGATTATCATGTCATGAAAACATACTAAAATATGCCACAGTTAATAGGATGGGACAGTAATCTAAGGGGGTCTATTTAATTTCTTCATTTCATTTTAAGAATTCCACCCCTGCTTATTTGAGCTGGTTCCATCGTTTTGACTCTGTTTTTTTTTGTTGTTGTCTAATAATAACTCTTTCTGTTCTTTATAGTGTTGTAACTCGATCTTTATCTGTTGATAAAGTGGGTGATGAAGTATTGGTTTATATAACATGGATTAGAATGGGTGGTATAAGTACATGTTCACTTAATATGCTGCCTTCTAAAGTGTGAGTAGGAATATCTAACAATCCTCATTAACAATCATTGAGCTACATTTGCCACTCTCCACCCAGGTGTTGTAAATGGCTACGTGGATGTCTGGATGATCTAATAAGGCATCATAACTTTTGTGCAACATGAAATATAAACATGTAATACACTCATCATTATCTCTTTTATTTCTCTACATCTGTTGCATAATTGATTTTGACATGATCATACTGTTAACTAACGACTCTTGATACCATGATATATGTTTGTATTATTTGTAGAAAGTCGTAAAATATTAAAAACACAAAGAAAACAAAATTTCTATGATTTTGAGTGGTTTATTGTTTTCAATTTCTCAGAATTTGTGAATGGCTCCATTATTCTGTTCAGAGTGGTGGGTGTGTGTGTTTGAAAAAATATATAAATATATGTGCAGAGATGCCAACCTCTTGATACAAAAAGACAGACTGAATATCCTTACAAACTAATCGAATTTTGAGAGAGAAAAAAAAAGAAGAGGGGAATTTTTAAAAAAATCAATCAGATTATCAAGAAAACTCGTCACTACCACTCAGATTATGTAAAATGTAAGAACGGGCAAGTAAAATGTGTGCTCTTTCATTAACATTTAATGAGAAAATTGTAAAGCAAAGTTTTTGTTGGGGTTGCGGGGGTTTACTTGTACACATTTTCTTATTTTGAAAGATGAAAAGTCGTATTTTCAACCGGCGATATTGAATCATTGTATTTCACTTTTGTTATCATACTGGTTGGCATCTCTGTATGTGTGTGAAGAAAAAAAAGGTTTAATAAATTATGATAATAAAATGTCTTCTTCACCCGGGGTAGCCTCATCAGGATCAATACTGTTCTCCCTGAGGGTCCTACAATCATATTATTACCCAAGCTTTAGGCATGTTGATTATCACTTGATTTAAGACACTTTTGAACAAAATGATCACTTCTAAGAATATTTATTGCATTTGGAAATCTCACATACACAGTTACATGTAAATTGCATAGATCAAGAAAAAGAAATGGCTAAAATTTTTAAACAAGGTAAACTCTGCATACCGATATGTCAAATCTACTAAAGATATTTCCACTTACCAGTATGCAAAATGTAACTTAGAAAGTGTAAATAGTTTGCATAGTTTGGTCTATAAAAAAATTGATTCTACTTCCAGAAAATTTGACTTGTGCACATTTGAATTATGATGAGTTAACTGTAGTTGAAATTAATTAACTGCTTCACATACACTACATGATGATGAATCATGATTACATGAGCACATTCTAATCATTGGAATTTTTTTACAATGAAAAGAAATGTTGTACTACAAGCACAAAAGTTTAGCTGGAATGGTTAGAGTATTTGTTCAAAGTCATCAAATGTTAATAATTCTCCCTATTAAATAATATGAATATGTTTTATTAAAAGGATATGCTATATATATTAGCAATCTATTATATTTACCAAAATGTAATGAACTAAAATAATACATAAAAAGTGACATGTATCAGATTCATATATTCCTATTTCTCAACTCTAACTTTTTTTTAAATAATTTAGATTAATGACAATGCATGAATAAATACAGTACGTTTCATTTGAATTTACTGCTAACATAATTTATGATGTTAAATTGATCTCAAAGAAAAGATTAAAAGGTACGTGTAACAACAAATCATTTATTTAGGTACACTGCATATTTTGTGAATAATTTTTGTGAATAAATAGTCTCTTAATAATTTTATCTATAGATAACATACTTTACATATTAGATTTCATATCATGTAGAATTTTCAGTTTCACGATAGAAAATATCATATGCTCCTTTTGACACAATAAAGCATGAAGGATTCTACTTATTCCCTTGTATACAAAAATAGTTATCCATCTCAAATTCCCTTTTACTGCATTTGATGAGTGAATTGACGCTATTCCTGATATGTGTGATTCATATTAGATGCAAAAATGTAAAACTTACTACATTGTATGCTTCCTCAATAGGCTACTTTCGTAATGTAACCAAATTTAATTCATGTCTTTGTGAAGTGTCTTGATGCAAATTATGTAATTCACCTGTTTCAATAGTTAGAATGCCCTTGCCCTACCTAATTACATGTTATTTATGCAATTTGCATTCTGACTACCGAAATACAATCATGTGTAACAGGTGAATGAAATAATTTGCATCAATCACTTCACAAAGACATATATGTAATTAAACTTGGTTACATTACAAAAATAGCCTATTTCCCTGTTGCAGGTTTGTTTGTTTGATTGATTGTTTCATTTTAAAGCAGTTTACCTCATTTGTGAAAGGGTATTGACATTATTAGTACAGAGAGACCACTGCATCTACATTCCCTACAAGCCTGTCAGTATAAAGCACAATGAACATGTTCTTTGTATTTGCGATGTAATGGAAATGTAATTGTCCCCTACATTAATTGTTCTTACGATTAGAAATCACATCATCTAAATTAAATATTTGCATAATAGTATTTACTATTTACATGAATAATCAATATGCATTAGGAGAATATTTACACATTTTCTCTGTACAAGTTTTCTTGGCAAGAATAGAGTTCTTACAACTATAAATGAAGTATGCATACCCAAATGTACATACACAAATGAAATGTACATTTACAAAGACCTAAAATTTTACCACGTATTTAAAACTACAATGTTCACTATAAATATTGATTATTAAAACGTTTAGCTTGCACTTGTAATGATAGATTCAGGTACATGTTAAAGTAACAGGGTGTAGAAAGAAATTAAGATTCTAGGGTTAAGATACACAATTTCTGAAGAATTTCAATTCTGACGAATATACGATTTGTATTCAAAACACTCGAGATACAAGGTGTGAAATCATGGTAAAAGTACTGCTACATCTCTGTGACATCATTTACAATACATTGCATATATGATTTGCATATATATAGTCACAAGATTGAACAAGAAATAGTGTTTGGAGCCAAAGATGCATTAACACGGATACAAGCGAAATGCCTTGTGTATCACAACAAATACTAGAGTTTACAGAATGATTTGAAATGATAATGTAAAATAAGTTGATCCAGCGTTAGAGATATTGCAGTAAAAGTAAGAATAAATCTATTCTCTGATCTTTTGGCTAAACTAAGGATATATTGTAAAAGAAGACATCATGATATATAAGGTACAGACGTACTCAAATGTCATGTTAAAAGGCACTACATCATCTTGTTCACAAGTAAAATACAGCTGCAATGACAAAAAAGGCAACAAAGTGTCTATACATCACACCAAATGCTAGAGTAACCATTAACTCCTATTTAAAATTAACTCAATCTACCCTTTACTTATACCAGATTATTGACTTTTAAAGTTGGGGGATTTTTGTTTTCTTCTAATCTTAGATTCATCTGGGCTCTCAGCAGATGATATTGTCTCCATATTTGTCAAGGTAATTACAAGTATAGTGTATCTGAAGGTACTCATGTAATATTGCAGGTATGCACAGTTTCGATGACTACAAACAAGCACATATAACCTTCCACCTCATGGGTGTCGATCTGTAACTGATACCTATTCATCAGGGGGGGATGATCTATTCATTCATCCCCCCCTGATGAATAGGTATTACGTTAGGATCGACACCCATGTTCCACCTATTCATGAAGACAACGTTTAAAAAAAAAAAAAAGACCAGGAAAACTATTGTGTATTTATCATGAAAAAAAAATGAAGAATTATGGTAAATACATATAGGGATGATTAATGTACTAGTCTTATTGATTACTTGAATCTTTCTTACAGAAGGAAAAAAAAGAAGTTTTCTGTAAGTGCTTCAGACATTTTCCTTGTCATATCTTTAACTGATTTCCGATGTCAACATCACATATAAGTAGTTTCCTAGACGATCAGTTGGTTTTGATTGCTTCAGGAGTCCTCATAATCTTAGGTAGAGGTATAGAACCTTTGAAGTTATCTCTCATGATTGGTCCTCCTCCTCTCATGCTGCTCCCTGGGCCTGGGGCGGTACTAAGCCCCTTCTCTGCTCCTCTCTCTGCTCCTTCCATCAGAGCTGTGCTGGCTGCAGCCGTCACGAGTCTGGCTGCCGTACCATCAACCTACAAGGAAAAAGCGATGTATAATAAAGCATTTTGTATAGAAGTCTACTCTAAGAAGATGAAAAGCACGCATATATTAACATTGACTACCCAAATGCTTTTCTTGAGCTCTTATATTAAGTGCCAAGAGCTTTATTTAAACAGTACTTATCAGCATGTCAGATAGGCTTATCATTTATCTGTGCAAGAAGGCCGTAAGAGTTATGTATAGTGAATGGTAGTAACAGCCTTGTTGCAGGCAGCCAATGAAATGTGACCAAGTTTACACCATTCTAAAGGGAAGAAGAAGAAATCTTTCCAAGTCCATGAGTAAGTGTTGTAGTCGAGTGGTTTAAGTGCTCGGCTTGAAATTCGCTTAGAGAGGGTATTCCGTATATATTAAGCGCTATATAAATCCAGATTAATATTATTATCATGTCCTACCTGTTCATTCAGGAAACCACTGATGGTTTGTATAGCTGCAAACATATCTTCTTGAAGTTCTCCTATCTTCATCTCATTCTCGGCCGACATATCCTCAAACCTGGCCAGCTCATTCTGGTTGTACAACCCTCGTATGGAGAAGTAATGAGACAGGGCATGGTGGAGGCGGATCTGAAGACTGTTCAACTGCAATCAGGATACAAACAGAGACAAGTTGGGAATAACCTTTTAATATCATCTTGAGGTCCAATCCAATCCAATCCAATCCAGGTATTTATAAAGCACCAATATCTAGTTGCCTAATCAAAGGCGCTGATGAGACTGAACAACTACCAAAAATGTCTGTTCATGATTCTAACTGGGAAAGACAAAAAAAGCAGTGACTAATTGTAAGCAATCTGAAATAGGTGTGTCTTTAGTTGAGTTCTGAAAGTGGATAACTGGTGACAAGAGCGAAGTCTTATTTGAAAGGCTGAAAATATTACTCTTAAAAACTGTGCTAGCATCCCTTGTTTTCCTTCTAAAAAGCATAAACTAAATAATTTGTGAACTCTTACAATATAGAAAATGGACAGGCTTCACAAAATACAACTCCCATTCATATTAGTTCAATAATTTTCACCCTCGTATAGCAGAACAGACAAATAAAAGCCCTGGGGAGAAAATGCAACAGGACCTATCCATTATTGTTTTAAAGGTCGTCTGTACTAGTTTGGCTAGGAAGGATTAGACTACCCATCGAGGTCACTGACAGGTGGCTATCTTATCAACTCAGCTCTTAATTAACATAAGAAAAAGAGGATCATGGGGGACCAATGGTCACCGATTAGGCATTGTTTTGTATATAGAGGGAGCAAGTAGCTACAAGTAGTGCAGTGGGGCCTTAAAGGGTCAAGAAATATTACTAAATCACCCTGTGTCTCAAATCAAATGATAGGTATAGTGGGGCTTTAAATTTAGTAGCTGTATTGATAAAGCCACTTCTTACCTGTCTATGATCTTTGAGACTCATCTCAAGACCGGTTCTCTTCTCTAATAAGTTCATACTCTCTTCCTTGATCTTATAGTAATGCTGCTGAAGCACACGGTATTCATGGGCTAGGGTTGCATTGGTGGCTAGATCCGCTCGGAGTTGACTCTGCAAGAATAGAAAATGTGATGATAATGAAAGAGGGTTTTATGTAAGGCATCGCTCCTGCAAATAGCACAATCTCTAAAATAATTACCACTATTTATCAACTCTAACATAGCCATTACCATCATTACTACCATCACTAATTCACAATCACCTTCAGTATCATAATCAATACCATAGATGCATCATCATCACCATCCACCATCACCAAGATAATCATGATCCTTCTCCTCCTCATCATCATCATTTTCATCACCACTATCATCATCATCATCATCACCATCATCGCCAACATCATCATCATCATCATCATCACCATCATCGCCAAAATCATCATCATCACCATCATCGGCAAAATAATCATCATCACCATCATCACCATCATCATCACCATCATCAGCACCAACATCATCTCCATCATTATCATCACCATCATCACTATCATCACCACCATCATCACCATCATCATCACCATCACCATCATCACCATCACCATCATCACCATCACCATCATCATCATAATCACCATCACCATCACCACCACCATCCTCACCATACAACCCAACACTAATGCTTACCACCAGATCTTCCAGTATGACTCTCCTAGCAGCCATATGTTCTAGATGACCGGTGTCCCTATCTCCCATCCTACCGGTCACCTGCTCTAAAGAGGACTGTAACTCCTTCTGCTGCTTCTGACCAGTCTCAAGCTGAATGGTCATCTCTTCAACATCCGCACTGCATTTAATATGGAGATAATATTGATGTTAACATTTCCAGAAAAAATTAAAAAGTATGAAACGATCACTACTATCAATTTACACTCATATATTCGCAAGTAGGGCATGATAAACTGAGAGTCCAATGACTTCATATAGAGCTGATGGATGAGTGACTTTGTTTCCAAAAGTACAATTTATGGATGAGATTCTATTCATGTTAAGTAATCTTGGAAAAGAAAAATACTGGGAAACCCCAAAGGAGAACACTGCATGTACTAGGGAAAATATGGTTTGTCTAACCGGAAAGGCAATTTAATTGCCCTTTTTACCATCTGGCTTACAAAACCAAATTTGATATGGTTTAGATGTACCGTAGTGACCACATTTCCATTTCATCTATGACTTTATCCAACACAAAGTATCAATGATAGTGATAACAATAATAATAATTGAGGAGGTGTGACCAAGAAGAGGTCCCGGGTTCGAAGGCGAGTCAACGCGCTCCTGCCCTTTGGTAAAGCATCTATCGTCATTCCCTCCGAGAGGACTTAAAGCTGTCGATCCCCGGCATGGTTGCTTACTTACAAGCATATACATGTTTAACTAGCAGTCAGGTAAAATAATCATCATCATCAACCATCAATAAGATTTGGATTGATGTAGGGCCTTGTACATCTATGATGTCTCTTAGCTAATTTAAATCAACACCTGCTTCCTCAGAATCAGACTTGCCCACACACCTTCCAACTGTCTACCAGCAACCCTCTCCCCCCCCCCCCCCCCCCTCCTACCCCTAACCCTACAGTAAACAAGCCTACTTGATCTACCTCAGGTAATGTAAATGGGTCCGGCAGGAATTAACTCCTTGAAATGCTAGAGTGCTGTAATGGCAGCTAGGCTAAAGCTTGGGTAATAATAAATGCGCCCCGGAATAGAATTTCTAGATAGATGGCGCTATATAAATGCCTATTATTAATATTATCAATACCTCATTTCTTCGATCTCTTCTGCAGTGTTCTTGATCACTCTATCCATGAAGCCTTCGCTCTGAGCCATGTCACTCAGCTTCTTATTGATAAGATCTGTCCTGTGCGCCATATGGTCCAGACGCTTTTGATGATTCAAAATCTCCTTCTATGGGTTACATAACATTAAGATAAATATACATTAATATCTTTTAATAATGAGACATTTATAAAAAACACCAATGGTCATAATATATAGAGGCACTATATAATATACTACTAAACTTTGCATTACTGAACATCATGTTAGGCAGGGACAGTCTGATTTATGTAAATATCATTCGACCAATACAGTACTTACCATGTCACTCATATCTTGTTAAAGGAAATAGATCATGGTCGACTGACGGGTGTAGTATATTTAAACATTGTGCACTTGTGTAAAAGGGGAATTATCCTGAGATTGTCAAAGTTCGTAGGGGTCTTTATGATTCCTTGGTGTAGGCCATGTTGATTTAATTTCTTGTTTAAATTTCCTCCAAAACAAAATGTATGGCTTCTGTATTTTTAAAGTTATGCACGGCCCCAAAGTATATAAAAAAAATTCTTAACCAGTGACGTCTAACCAGTGATGGGGCTACCCTGTTGAAATAATACCAAATAAATCAATTAAGTTGATAAAATGATGGATATGATAATGATGTATAATTTGTGTACAATGTACGATGCTCTTCTCCCAATAAAAATAAAGTGCCTCATCTCTACATTGTTACATAAGTTGCAAAAATAATATCATAACTGCTTCTGTGTACACCTAAAGCATTAGAAAAGTGAAGGTAAGGTAGTACTAGCCAAAGATTTGAACCCTCAACCTTGTGATTTAAAGTGATCTTCTCCAGTGCCCTAAAAAGGTCAAGAAACACACCCTAGCTGTGTCTCAGATCATACATGTAGGTCTGTGTGAAAGACAGCCATACACTATGCAGTACTGTGAGGATGTAGAGATAAACCTTCAGTCAATGAGGCTTTGCAGAAGATCAGCCATTGCTTGCATCCAAATTAACAAATGAATTCAACTCTTCCAGTGAGTGACAGAAATCAAATCACGATCATAAAAAAGTGCACTTTTCATCCTAACCCCAAAATCAATCATGAATACTGCTTTTCCATCATTAAAACATCTTTGCAACATCATTTGTATGACATATATAGAGTGCATGAACTTTCATTCCCAATGTGATCTCATTACAATACTGAAAATGTGTGTAGAAAAAATCCCCAACAAATCATTGCATTTGACCTCCCAAAATATGATGGTCATTTTTTGTATTACCTTCTGTTCGTTTGACTGTGAAGAACAATGGAAATAAACACTGATTTGAATTAATATAGAATATCTTCGATACCAATCAAGGTAATACACCTGTATGACTTCTGTGTATCTTTGTGAATTTGTGTGGGATATCCTCATAATCCTCATGATGAAGAAAAAGTTCCTATTCTGCAGAGTATTTCAAGGTAATTAAATATGAAATTTAATTATTTAGAATTCATGGATTACTTCCAATCCGGCCTATGATACACATTAAACAAATTTTAGAGTATGAAAAAACAAGTGGCATATGAGCCAGGGGGGGGGGGGGTGCTCTAGCAATTTTTTTAGCTGAAGTGGTGTTCACTACATCTCTTGCAATTGACTATGCACAGGTTTTGTGGAATTGTTTTTGTTGCACCACGTTTGAAAAGATATACACCTCAAATTTGGCAACAAAATGTGAGTTTGCCAAAATGATAAGGAGCAAAAGATTCCTGAAAAATCTTGACAAAACCAATGACACTGCATGATGAATGGATCACTTACCAAAAGATTTTTCAATTTTGGTTCTAATTCTGCTTTCTTGTTGCTCGTCTGGACGATGAGTTCCTCTTGCTCTCGTTTCAGACTCTCTATTCTCTCCTCAATCTTGTTAATTGCCTAAAGGAAAACAAATATTGTTTGTGGTTTAGACTAACTGCCTTTAGTACAGTGAAACCTGCCTATAAAGACCACCAAGGGAGGCAAGAAAAGTGGTCTTTATAGGCAGGTGGACTTCATGTACAGGTTCCTTTAGTACATGTTTCAATGAGAATCCATTTTCAAGGGAAACAAAACATGTGGTCTCTGTAGACATTCAATCGGATCATATAGTGGGCTTAAATACACCCTATCTAACAATTATACAAGCATCACAAGTCAAAATCCAAGAATTAAAGTTCATTCATGACAGTTATTCACAAACTTGGGAACACAGACAGGATATATAACACTGAACATACCTTCTGTCTGCTAGCTCTCTTCTCTCTCAAGATCTTTGTTTCAGCCAGCACCTTGGCAACGACCTCATCCATCTCGTTTGCCCTCAGAGTGACCTTAGCTTTCTTCTTGGTTGCTTCCACCTGTCTCTTAGATAGATCAGTGGTATCAGCAGTGATGCGAGCCTGTAAGACGGTCCTGGTGTGTGTCTCTTCTCTTAGCTGCTTCTTCAGACTGTCCACTGTGCTCTGAGAACCAATAAGTAGACAAGTGATAAAACATTAAAGATAAAGATCAGTTCTGGTCATGCGATTGCATTGTGAAAGAAACGTTGTGGAATCGATCAGAAAAGGTTGATCATCTAGCATATAAGTATTGGTGTGTACTGCAAGGTTCTGGAATCATCAAATGATAAGAAATTTGGCCTAGTTTTGGTAAAGTTACAAGCACTGTACACAGAAAGATGTATATGAGACCACACACACGTGTTTGACACATGCGTTATATCTATCATGTCCAAATAGATAAACTAATTTACCAAATATATCAAAAAGTAGGCGGCTTCTCGTCAAAATTTGTATCATCATGTATTAGTCAAAACATATTCTTTCACATGATTGGTAATAACAGCTTTCATTTCATTTTTTAAGAGGGGGTCGTTTCCAAAACTGGTCTGTACCTTTAGTTGCACTTCCTTGGATATTGCTATGATTATTTTGAAAACGAAAACAAAAAAGAGCTCATATACCACAAATTTACAAAAATTAAGAAATTAGAATAACATTTTTTCAACAACAAAAATGATTGGGAACAAAAAACAGGTACTTACAGTAAAAAATTAGAGAGTAAATTAAGAACTGTTTCATAACCTTAGCTGTAACAATTTACAGCACTTTGTATTCACTTCATACATACTTTGGGATTACATTTCTTTCTTACATACTCCATCTGTACACTCAGACATCTATAGAATGGAAAATATATAGCCAATACTAATTGCAAAGGAAATAGATATCTTTTTAAACTAATGAATTAATAACCACGTCCAATAACGCTTTGACCAATTATTTACATGACTTTTATATATTTTGTATACATTGCTTTAAAATCAAAACATTGCTGTGAGTGTGGGGGATGGGAAATGGGGTGGGGATGGGGGTGGGGGGGGGTAGAAGTGAACAAACCTGTAATGAGTCTTCCATAGCCCTAGCCTTGTCTTCTTCTCCAGTCAGCTTGTTCTTCACAGCTACATTGATAACCTTGATCTTCTGGTACTCCTCATCCACCACCGCTAGCTGGGTCTCTACCTTGGTCATCTCTCGTTTGATACGCTCTGTGTTCTTAGCATCAGATGTCTTCTGCTTCTTGCTGTAAATTGTCAGATTAATTAATTAATTAACTTAAACTGTATTTTGTCGTCCTCACTTACATTATTTGTTTTGACCATGTTAGCTATCTTTTTATTATGTTAATTACTATGTTGAGTTAGTCATTTTGGTAGTTATAAGATTTGTATATTTCTCTGTGTTGATTCCTTTTATGTGATTATATTTCTCATCATTCAAGCTTGTACAGCGCACAGAGAAACTTTTGTTTATTATGCCCTTTATAAATATTGTATTATTATTAGTAGTATAGAGATTAATAACAAGTACTCACCTTCAGTATTTATATGCAAACCAAGCACAAGACAGTTAAATTCAATACATGGATTAAGTCAGTCTTTACCTATAGCATTTTACTTTTATAGTAAGCATCGTGAAGTCACAATTTCAATCTGAAATAATGTGCAATTAATGCACTGCAGTACAAGCGCGCTTATGAGATCCATTTGCCTGCCAATCAAAGCCTCCAACATAATTGGCTTGTCTGCTAGGGAGCTGTCTAATAGTTAGGGTTAAATACGTAACCAAAAGCTTCAACCGAATACTAAAGTTGGCTTAGTATCTTAACTGAGCCGAAAAATGAGTAAAATTCTGAATTTTCTGTCATTAATTATTGAACTGAGCACCGACCTTGATACCCGTTATCGATTTCCCTTCCAACATAAAGCAATATTCTCACAGTTATTTCACATGCACCATCAACAACACAAGGTAATTTCTTGTGATACGTAATAAATCCTACCATTTCTTGATTTTGGATTCCATATCATCGAGTGTCATAATCATCTCTCTACTGTCTTGTTCTTTAGATCTCAGGGTTGATAGGCGTTCTTTGGCTGTCTCCTCTAACTGAGCCACTAACTCTTTGTGATCTTTCCTCTGTGAAAATAAATTAAAAACAACAAAAATTATGATTTAGATGGGAGGTCTATTTTGGAGGAAATGGCGATGAAATAAATTGTAGGATATTTTTTAATTTTTTTATTGCAATCACAACCATGAAGAAACTTTTTCTGTAACTTTCTTTCCACTGATGATTCCTAATTCATAAAGTCTATGTACCAGGATAAATGTATCTATATAATCTTAAGCCTTTCTCTTCAAATTGGTAAAATAGATAAGCTTTCTGTGACTTTTACACTCTATTAACAACTCAATTAATCTAAATGATAACCAGATAGTTAAATTAATTAATATATCAGCTAATGTGGCAGAGATTTAATTGAAAAGGAAAAATAACAATTGTATAACATGACTGCTGTTGCCAATTTGACAATCTAATGGTTCTGCTACCATTCTCACCCGTGTTTCAATGCTGGTGCTGAGTGAGACGCTATTGTCAGCTAGCTTGCGATGGTCAAACTCAGCCTCAACGATACGATCCTGGACTTGTTTGATCTTCACAGTCTGCAACTTTTCTGCCTTCCGTGAGTTCTCCTCTCTTGTTTCTGGTGTTGTGCAAAGAAGAGAAATAATAGGTCATTTTTAAATCAAGTGAGATAATTAAGATAAGGATGATAATGATGATGAAGATGATGTTTTATTTTTCCTTTACAGCTCAGAGAGTATTATATACATTATAAATGAGTAATCAGGGGACATAAAGATTTTAGTCCATCTTTGGGTTGGTACTCAACCTGTTTACATTTTTACTACAATTGCTGTACACCATTTAAAGCCTATCTGCACTAGTTAGCCAGGAGGGATTAGACCTTCCTGCATGGTCACTTACAGGTGGTTTATCTCATCAAATCAGCTCTCAATTAACATATGAAAAAGGGGACCATGGGGGACCAACGGTCACCACTCAGACATTGTTTGCTATATATAGGGAGCAAGTACCTATAAGTAGTGCAGCGGGGCTTTAACAAAAATAATATTAGCATTTGGAGCATTTTTCTAATAATTTTTTTTTTAAAAAGCTGAAGTTGAATTGTAGTGAATAAACATGTGTACAGTCAAACCTGTTACAATGGGCATCTCCTAGTCAATTAAGGCAACCTGTTCATAGTGGTTACCAACCTTTTCCCTGTAGGAATTAATATGTATCTTAGAATGCTACCTCACTACTTTGGTCTCTTTGACTGTTTCCATGTGGCCTTTACAGACAGGTTTGACTGCATAATCTGTATCTTGGGCCATCTCTGAATGTATACAAATACAGTCAAACCTGTCTATAGCGACCACCCAAGGGAAACACAAAAAGTTGTCTTTGCAGACAGGTGGTCTTTGTAGACAGGTTCCTTTAGTACATGTTTCAATGAGAAGCCATTTTCAAGGGAAACAACAAATGTGGTCCTTGTAGACAGGTGGCCTTTAAATACAGGTTTGACTGTAGCTGTAATGTATTTCTTGAGGGTATACTCACGGAGTAAGACCTTCTCATGCTCTGCAGTCTTAATCTTATCTCTCAGGTCCGAGCATTGGCCTGTGTAGGAGGAATGCAACACCTTGGCTGCTTCTAAATCATGGCTGAAAGGAGATGGAAACATAACATTCATTTAGATACACAGGACACGAACGTCGGCCACTGAAAACTGTTTCATAATTGTTTGAAAGAACTGTAAGCAGCTTCGTCTAGGCATTCATATGACAATATTATAGGTTTGTTGTTTATCTAAAGATTGCATTGCTTATGAGTTAACTTGCAGGTTCTAGAATTTTTTTTTGCACTAAGTTACTATACCTACTGAATACAAAAATTAATATCAATACATTGTACTTTCCAGTACTTTCTTGTATACAATAAGTAAAATCAATGTTATAATATTATAATGTGATATACGCTATAAAAGAACCAAATATTATTATTTATTTAAGATAGTTTGTGAAGGAGAATGCAGACATTCATCTTTGGTCAATATTTGATGAAGTACTCACTTAATTTCTTCCAATGTCTCCCTCACAGATTCTAATTCTTTCTTGATATGTTCCCTTTCTTTGTCTGCTTTCCCGAGAGCCTCAGCTGACTTGTTCTCTGTCCGCTTCAGCTTCTCATTTGTCCTGTTCAGTTCAGCATCAGTCTGAAAAGTAACAACAACAAATAATAATAATAATGGTGGCTTCTTTAATATATTAATAATAATAATAGTGTAAACTTATAGAGCGCACACACCATCCAGGGACGCTCATGGCGCTAGCTCAGCAACAGTTCTCTTTAGTACAAGTAATGTAAATGTTATTTGATCATAAAGTTATACAATTAGAAATTAAAAAACAATTTTGCAACATTTGTATCACCCATTTCAATCCTCAGTGCATAATTTGAATTATATAGCACACATATGTGACGCTCCTGGCACTTCAACATTATTATCCCAGTCTTAGATGGGTTATTCAGATAGTGATGTTATCATGATTAACTCACTTGTTCTTGAGCTTCATCTATCCTTTTCATGGCTCCTCTCTCCAACTCCAATTTCTCTTCCACAAGTGGGCTGTTCAATTCAAATAGAAAGAAAAACCAAACACAAACCTGACAGATTAGAACTCTATGAAGACATTAAACCTGCATTCCATATATATACTGTACATAGCTACAGATTTTGACTGGTATGAAATGTTTTGAGGGATATCACAATGGAGTAAATGTCCTTTGTCAAATCCATCTCAAGAATATATACAATTTATATGTTTATAGCATTAGATTGTGATTTTGATGGGTCATACATATGAAGGGCAAACAGGCTAAAATGACCATTGTAGGCAGATGGCTTTTCTAGACACATTCTATATCTTTTTTTTTTAATTCCAATATGCAGACAATGTAGCAGACTACTATAGACAGGAGGTCTTAGGTCCATAGGTTTGACTTTACTTCAAATGTTTGAATTATGACTGAATTCTTTCCTTGGTGAGTAATTAAATCATACATACACAGGCCTTAAATTTCGTCATTTTTAGGGCAAGGCCAGTTTGGCCTTAAAGTACCTCATATTTTTAAGGGCACCAAGGCCACTACAAAGGGCACCAAGGCCAAAATATTTTTACAAAAAGGGCATCAAGGCCAAACAAAAAATTGATTCTATTTTTGTTAGATGTCATGTGTATTTTATAATGAAACTTGTGCGGGATCAATTTCCCATGACTTTTAGCACCAGCTTCTTCACAGAATGTATAGAGGTCTACGGTACATACAAACAACGGCGGCGGCCCCGCAAGCCTTAGATTAAGCAGCCAGGAGCAAGGGGCAATTTTTTTTCTAAAGTTGCCTCTTGCCCACGGAAATTTACCAGAGCAAGGGGCAATTCCCTAAGAACCAGGGGCAATTTTCCAAAAACAGATAGAGTAGGCCCCTAATCTAATTATAAGTTCAAAGATAAAATGTTAATTTCATAATGTGAATAGAATGATCAATTTAATAACTTTTTAATCTTAACAATATCAACAGGAAAGATTGATTAAGAACATCAAACTTGCATATTTTAAAGTAACTAAAAATATTGATGAGCAAATGAATAAATAAATTGTAAATTTCACAAACATCGAAAGTCAGAAGGACTTGGCAAGGTCACCGGGTATCCGAAATCGAAATCGCACCTCACACACAAACCTTCCGCCACACTCTCGGTAGCTGGTAGTAGGAGCAAATTTGAAGAAATTATCTTTTTAATTGTTGTATAACCAACCCAGGGAAAAAATTAAGTTTTTCATTTCGGGGGCTCCATTTCAAATTTTTGGGAAATTTTCGAGGGCTACTTTTTCAAATTTTGGGGGCTTTTTTTTTTTCCATTTCGGGGGCTACTTTTTCATTAATTCTTAAAAGGATAGGCCTAGGGGGTCTACAGTTTGTTGAGATTTGTTTAGTAGGCTAAGGTTTCGGGCTTCCTGCTTCATAATTGCGTATTAAAAAAGAAACCCCTTTTTCTAGTTCAATTAACTAAGTTTTCATGCATTGATTTGATGCAAGAACTGTGACATAATAGACCCTAGATTGTGATTATTTCTGGCCATGAATTTCGATAATCATTTTTCAAAGTAAAGTTTTTCCAAGAAAATCAGACAGTCGTTTAAAAACTTAGACATTAGTAATACTTTTACTAACTCTAAGCTCAGGTTTCGTACATCTATTCACGAAACTATATTGAAATCGCAGCAATAATGATACAAACCAACAGATAGCAATTTCAAAGTGTCAAAACTCTTTGACTCAGCTCAACTCACACACTGCACAGCGCGCAGCGTGACTCCAGGAAGCTCCAACACCGGCCGCCGCAGCCGTCCGCCTGCGGTGCTGGTGTTGGAGCCTCCTGGAGTTAACTGCAGCGCAGCGTCCGTCATGGTGATTTTGTCTGATTTTCTTTACTTTGAAGAAATGATTATCAAAATTACGTAAACATGGCGATGTTGGAAAATAATCACAAAATAGGCTTTAAGTTCATACCTCTATTCATGGAAACTTTATAAAATTGCGGCAATCATGATGGAAATTGATTTCAGTTTCGCGATTAGAGGTCTAGGTTCAGCTAATATGATCCACCAAAACAAAACAAAAACTCGACCCCTACTCGATCTCGCAACTGCGAAAATGTACGTGTTTTGGCATACTTGCGTGCGACATGGTAAGCCAGGTACTAAGGTATGGAATATGGTTCAATTTTTTTTACGACTGATTTTTTGTGTATACAATTTTACACGGAGATTCAGCAATACGAAGCTAGTAGAGAGCTCATGGGCAGCAAACTGTTCGTGATTCGTGCTGTTCTAATAATTTATGGGCGCATTTTCATGGAAAACACTTGCGCCTTGCCGTCTAGTTTTAGATGATTATGGGCGCAATTGGTGGTTTTATGAGCGCAAATTTCTAAAAAGGGGCACGTCCAGTTGGAAAAAAAGGCACGTCGGCCAGTTTGAAAAAAAGGGCACGGCCTTTTTGGCCGTGAATTTATCTTTTTTTGGGAGGGCACCACGGCCAGTCGAGGGGCATCGACGGCCTGGCCGTCGATGGCCGTCGATTAATTTAAGGCCTGCATACATAAAGTTGAAGAAATGATGCTCACATCACATCCGCGCCGTGTACTCACCAATGCTTCTCCACAAAAGCAATATCCTCTTTCAATCTTGAGTTGAGCATCTCAGCATTCTCCACTTGGTTCTGGATGCGGTCCTTCTGGCGCCCTCTATAGGCGTTGTGCCACTTCAGCTCAGCGATATCTGTAGCACAAGCCTCATGCTCTATGGATGGTAGGAAATGAAGGCTTCAAATATGAACATCTTTGAAAATATTATCGGTCCACTGATCACTGGTTTTAAACGATTAGAGAACTTTAAAGCCTATAACTGCACTAGTTTGGCCAAGAGGGTTAGACCTCCCTGCATGGTCACTGGCAGGTGGTTATCTCATCAAATCAGCTCAATTAACATTTAGAAAAAAGGGATCATGGGGGACCAATGGTCACCGCTTAGACATTTTTTGCTATATAGAGGGTGCAAGTAGCTATAAGTAGTGCAGTGGGGCTTTAAGGAGCTTCTGGAAAGGAAAATGCTTTTAAAAAATCAAATAGCTCAGTCTGAATATCAACATAATCAAGTCTATCCATAAGATTTGGAAGTTTTAATACATTTCTACAATCTCATCAGAGTGGAACTACCAATAATCCTGTTTACAAAAAAGCGGGGAATGAATAGTGGTGTCAATGACAAGAAATCTGATTGAAAAAGAGAAGTTTCCAGATGGCAAATTATCTTACCTTGCTGAACTACCTTTGGGAGCTCATACAGCCGTTTCTGTGAGATGCGATCAATCTTTCCTTGCAGCCATCCCACACGCACCTGCTCCTTCTTAAATAACTCATCCGTATCTCCCCGATCCGTCTCCAGGCGACCTAGCAAGGTCACGACCTCATCAATGACCTCCTCTGCTCCAAGGTGAGGGACCGTCTCCTCTGCTATGTCAGCGAGGCTGTCCACTGCAGGGTCAAAAAGATTGTAATGAGAGTTATAGTTAGTATGAACAGACCTAGCAAGGTCACGACCTCATCAATTAAACCTGAACTATATGACATCACCATACACAAATAATACCTTCTTTATGTTGTCTTGCTTCTCATGATCTTTTGGACTAATTAAAAGACAACAAGTTATTTTAAAGTTTGGCAGGATACCTATGAAACTATACAAACTCAATGTTTTCAAGCTTTCTATAGAAACCTTTTTGAGGAACTTCCCTTACAGAGATGGATCCTTAGAAGTCACTGAGAAACTCACTATGATAGCGCTTTAAAATGAGAAAAGGATGAATTATACTTACTATCAGAGATCTCTGTTCCTACACCCTGCACCGTGAAGTCACATGAGGATGCTAGGCCTGGTGTGCCCCGGGGAGGGGCTGGGGTAGGGTAGTGGCTTGAGCTCAGGGACGTCATGCTGCTCTCTGTACGATCAGTGTCTGTGGCAAACCGTAGCTGCTTGCGGACTGTTTGCAAGTAAGTAAGTAGATAAAAATAGACACGTTGATCAGGGCCCCCGTCTTATAAAGAGTTGATAACTTGATATCAATCGCAACTTATTTGCAATTGACATCAATCGCAACTTTGTACACATAAGAGATAGAAGAATGCAAACTTGAGGACTTGTGATTAATTTGGATCAATCGTAACTCTTTGTAGGACGAGAACTACTATTGCTACAGCATATCACAATGATTCTCTAATGAGAATCAAAATGAATTACTCTAATCATTTCATGAATACTTATTACTTTACTAATCTGAGCTCCTCTTAAACATGGAAGAAGGGGTGGTTAGGGGGCCGGGGGAGGCTGGGAATGTAGTCATTTACAAAAATAACAACACAAAGATGCTTGTAGTAATGATTTTTAAGTACAGTTAAATCAAGCTGGTTCAGTTTTAGTCTAAAAAGGAGATTAAAAAAAAAGTGTTACTAGAGCTCAGTGATACTTCGGAACTATATTATTGCAAATATAATACATCAGAAAATACACAGCAACTGTCGACAAAGGTAAACAAAGGATATCTCGAACACTAAAAGAATAACCAATCTAGCTCTTATCTTTTTTAAATTCCTAAAGGAAGTGAACCTGCATGGTAATAATAATATTAATATTGGATATTTATATAGCGCACATACATGTATCCACCATGCATGGCGCTCCAACTATTACCCCAGCTCTGCTAGGCAGACGATTTCGGCGCTCACAGCATTTAAGGAATTCCTTCCTTCCTATATATTTGTTGTCTAAATGTTACCACATTTTAATCATAATTGCGCTTCCCAACACACCTTTGCCATCAGCCTGTGTAAGCCTGGTGCTTACATCTCCTCCCCCTCTAGAGGGCGGTACAGCCTGCTTGCTGGCCTCACTTGCAGCAGAAATCACTGATGACCTCCTACTAAGGATATCCAGCTCCACCTCGCGGCTCCAGGCCTCGATGCGATCCTGCAGGAGCCGGAGCTGCTCCGCTGCCTTGGCGATGCTTGGTGACATCGGCTTGCGGAAGAACATCGCCCTCCTCTTGAAGAGCTTGTCTTGAAGGCGTGGCCACCCGGCAGGAAGCGGGTAGACCTTGTCTGCATGTCATAAAGAAAATGAAGTCACAAGTGATTCAAAACCTTCAAAACTAGACTCTGGGAAGCAGTCCAAAGGGGTAATAATATAAGCATAGTCTCTCCCCACAACTGCAATGTGATGGGACTCAATTAAAAAATGTTCTAGATGCAACAAACACTCTCTCTTGAACGATAACGTTCTTATTGGTCATCTATATACCCGGTATCCCTCTTGAGGATCAGGACCAGGAACATAACAGAATCAGATGGTGCTGTTTTGAAGTTTTGATTTTCATATTCATCAAACATGCCATACACATGAAGTATCAACCATACTAGATGTGGAAAACACTAGATGCAAAACATAATAATTGCATTCTCTCAGGACTCTTCTTCAAAGTGCAACACTTTATATTTAGTCTTATTGCTGTATTTGTTTTCTACTAAGCCGTGGATATGAACAAATATATGAAAAGAGTCTATTTTTTTTAGTGACAAAGTACAAATTTATATCGTTTGAGTGCTTCAGATTTTAATATTTTCTTTTTCTTTCACAAATTCCTGGTGACAAAAACACGTTTTTAGGCGAAAGAAATGGGAACAGGGTGTGCAAAATGTCTGCTCTTTCTGGCCTATAACCAACAAATGATGGGCTTTAATTATCTTAAATGGGTTTATGATAAGAAGCCAGTCCCATATCAGGATAGGTTAGCAATTGTATGTTAAATCATGCACCGTGCATTAAAGATCTATCTTTGTCCTGTAAAGTATTGTCTTGTCCCTTTTTCGTCTCTGTTGGCATCCCCCTTTTTCTTTCCCCCATTTTGTAGTTCCTTTTGTAGTTAAAGATTAGTTAATTTAATTACTCATTATTCCTAAGTTTCATTTGAGGTGTTCACACTTGTACAAGCATTGCTTTTTAGTGGACCCCTCTGTTTCCAACATATATTTCTTAAATTTGTTTTAAATGCTTATAATTGATTTGTAATGTTTTGTTGGAAACATGAATAAATTTAAAATTGAAATTGGAAATTGAAAGATGTTGGGAAATAAATGACAATTATACTTATTAAGATTGAAAGATTACATTTATCATCTTCATACGTAATAAATGAGTTCACAAACCTAATGCTTCTTGTTTATCAAAACTGGGACTCTCCTTCTCCTCATCAATCCCAGAATCCCCTTCAGCGCTGTCTGAACGACCTCCCGGTTTACTTCCAGGTGCAAGTCCACCGCCATTCTGGTACCTGCTATCCAACGTGGTAGACACGCCTACACTGTAGGTCCCAGACACCTGGCTGTACTTAGAACCAGACCCGGTCCTGGATTGTGTGAGGAACGCTTTAGGTTTCTCACTCTTAGCCGTCGACGGAGGGACTGGCGCCCTCACGCTGTGATCATCCTCCACCGTGATCGCCACGCTTGGCTGCTTCTCTGGAGTACTCATTGTTTCTACTTCTCTAAAACTTGGTTTCAGTCTTAATCTGGTTGCATCATTTTCAACTTGGCCCTCAACTGTCCAGATTGCTCAACTTCGTGATAACGTAGATGTACGTCTAACTTGTATCAGCATTTCACATCAAGGCTCTATCTTGTTTTGGTTACTATAGTTCTTAAGATAAGGTGTGCTGCCTGGGCTGTGTGATAGAATAAAAAGAAGGAACATTAGGTAGAAATGATGAGTCTCAAGGGTACAAACTTGTGTTCATGAAGTATTTGAAACATTTAATATTTCCATTTTTATTTCCATGCTGAAACAAATCTTGCACTCTTAGTCTGTATTTCTTTAAACATTGCCTAAAAACGTAAGGGGTAAATAGTAGTGTCTAGTCCAACATTTATTGAATGAAAGTAGATCAAGTCTGAGAAGGTAATCTACAAAAAGTTGTATTCTAGATCTAGACTAGATTTTGAAAACTAAGTAAACATAAAAATATGCAAGTCTCAAGGCAACATGCAACATGATTCTTTAAAAAGGTAAAGTGGTCAAGTAAACAGGTTCCAGATGCAAGCCAGGTAAGCAAAGCTGTGTCAGCGCTAGTGTCCTTCGTATCCATTTTCGACCCGTAATTCCGGTTATCTACCGTAATGAGGATCTGAGACATTACGGTAGATATCTTCACACAGGCACGCACGCACCCGCAATCCACCATCGGTATGCACTTGTATTGTGCAGCGGTTTGCCGTGAAATCTGTGAAAAAGTGTATCATAGTTTTCCCGAAAAACACTCCAAAAATAACAAGAAAATTGACACGAAACAGGTAATAAACATAACGACTTTTAATAGGGTGTCTGAACGATTTTTCAATTTTCAATTTGGGATCGTTTTTCACCATTTTTGTTTGATATTTGAATAAAAAATGTTATCAGTATAATACATTTCAAATTTCAAGTCTCACCGACGTTTCTATCAAAAGTTACAGCCCCTCCAAAACGCTGGTATATTCATATCATTTTGGTCAAAATCGACGAAAAAGACGTCCACGCAGAGTGATGTTGTTTTGCTAAATTCAGACAAACAGCTGTATCGCACGTAGGCTGCATAGGGATGCGTGTAATCTCTATGGGAAGAATTTTAGCACACAACATCGGGTGCGCGATCAGACACCCTACTTTTATGCACCTGTCAATTGTATGACCCACCCCATGGACCCCGGGGAAGGTGCGTCATGGTTGGGTCATTTACCATCAAGGTGTGACTCAGGGTACCGTCATTTTACTCCTATGGTCAGTCACAATATTGACGGTGGGGTGTGTCGATGTCAGTAAGAGGACACTTTTTTTTTTTTTTTTGACCTCGAAATTTGAAAATTTGACATTTTGCTCCGTTGGGGGGGGTAAGGTCACCTGGTTTAGGTCAGTCATGGGGATAATTTTTTTTTTTTTTTTTTTTTTTTTTTTTAAATTAAAAAAAAAAAAAAAAATCCAAAGGGGGGGGGGGGGGGGGGGATTTTAGGGGGGTTTGTACACATAAAAATACCAAAGGGGAGGGGGGGTTTAACCCCCCAACCCCCCCCCCCCCCCCCCTGCGTACGCGCCTGACTTCGAGTGTACTACGATCTTCAAATTGATTTGTAATTGGCACTTAAATTTGTACTACTAACTTTCAGCTCAGCACTCGACAAGCTACAGACAATTTTTTCGCATAGGAAAGCACATGTATCGCAGATCGCCATGCGGTTGGTTTTCTGTGGGTTCAATACGTAGTGATCGGACTGAAGTAAGCGGCGTTTTAAATGCGCTTTTACGTTCGCAGCATCTTACGTGCCTTGAAATGTGTATGTAAAAGCCAGACATTGCGCAGTGCAGCGAAACAAACTCATCCATGTGATGAGTGTGAGATCCAAATGACGTACCGCTGTGCATCACCATCGCGCGCATTAAAAAGACTTGAAGAAATATGAAACAAATCTGACCGTACGTATTCTGTATTTTACTTTGATTTTGATAATAGATCTAGAGCGTATTAATGATAGATTTCAGAAAAGGGAATATTATATAAAAACAAGGGCATTTTATGGCAAAGCCCTGCACCACCATCCCAGTAGATCTATCGTAGATGTCTACTAGAAAACAGAAAACATTGTGCCGTGCACGGTGCAGGTGGGGGAACGGTATTGCAACAACAAACGAGTGCTCGTGCCTGGAAATGAGATTAGACCCCGATCGCAAATCAGGAAAAACACGTTCTGTATCATTTCGACCATGTCGAATGTGCGTCAAAATGACAGTCAAAATCAACAACTGGTGCGTCATAATTTTGACCGAGGTACCGTCATTGGTAGCCTGAAGTTCGTCATAGTTTTGCCGCATATGTGCGTCATGGTATAGTAAAATCCGACGCACATTAGACAAGTGACGCACCATCCCCGGGGTTCATGGGGTGGGTCATACAATTGACAGGTGCATTAACTCATGATCTTTATTTGGACATTTAGATCTAGTCTAAAGAATATTTACTTCATTTTGGGTATGATTTAGTAGGGTATCTCTACGCTGGAGTAACGGGTCAAATTTTGGATAGGTTTCTGAACAAGCGCCGAGTCTAGACCCCCCCCCCCCCCTCTCTCTCTCTCTCTCTCTCTCTAGCGCCAAAAAAAATGCTAATTTTCTTTATTTGTCAACCAATTTCAAAGTGTGATGCATGACATGACACGATAGAAGAGTTCTCTACCAATTCTATTCAATTGGTTGATTTTTATTCCAGCAAATAAATTAAAAATACATGAAATGCGAAAAAAAGAATGTAAAATAGGGTCTAGTCTATTCACACACAACCACAGGTTCAATAGATTTTTCCGATTTTGTGTGCAGGCAGAATGCAGAACAAGATTTGTCAGAGCCTCAGCCTCAGCTCAGCTCAGTTCTTAGCTTCAAGCAACTCTTCTATGAAAAGGCAACGATAAACCACACATCTCAATATCCTTAAAGTACATTTGAATCATTTATCTTTCTCATGATTAACTCATTTTGTTTTTAACTAACGTTAATGAAGAGAATTTTACCTTCAATTTGGAGACATTTTGCCCATGAAAGCAGCCATTTTGCTTCTTGTTGTCATGACGCGTATAGAATGCTGACCTTTTTCTATCACACAGCTGCAGTAGTCTGCGCACACGAAGGTTAGAAAATAGAGTCGCCAATGATACGAGAAAGGACTTCAGTCTTCCAATTTTTTTTTCTCGCGGAAAATGAGTGCGCCCTCTCATCACTCCGAGGCGAGAAACATGAAAACATTCTTCGACATGGTTATGATGGCGGTATACCAGTATATTTAATTTTAGCTGAATCAATATTCGATTTTGTTAGTTTGCATTATCTCAAAAATTTGTTCGCTCTTTATTTATGTCTTCATATTTTATCAATCTTTACTTGTGTATTCATATATGTTTCTTTTGCAAAGCCCGTATAAGGGTCTAAATCTAGACCTACTCTGTGTGTTTTTTTTTTATAAAGGGGTAAATCCTGCTCTTCTTTAACCCTAATAGGGCCGGGCTATTTGAAGTCTTAGTAGGGCCAGGGGGGGGGGGGGGCCATTATGCCCCCCCCCCCTTAAGATCTCGGCCGCGAAGCGGCCGATCGCCGCGAAAATTTGCACGCATGTCAAGTGAAGTGTAAAGAATAATATGATAATTTCAATTTTTTGAAAAATTCACTCATTTGCATATTTATGGTCATTTATGCAAATAAAGTCATAAAAATCACATTTTTACCCATAAATCATATATTATTCATATTTAAGCATTCTTTTTCACTAGATATATTCATTAGACCATTCTGAATAATAATACGACAACAAATTTGGAAGAGCCAGCTTATTTCTTATGTTATCCCTTGTTTTGATAATTTCTTATGTATTTCATTGTTTTTTTAACTTATGTATTTCATTGTTTTTGTTGTTTTATTTCATCTTTTACTACAATTCAACTATTTTGACTCCCAAAACAACCACCTAAACTTTAATCAAGACCCAATAACCCATGTTTGATCTGTTTTTAGGAAAAATGACTTTGCCATACGTTTTGTACACAAATCACGAAAATGAGCGATTTTCAGGCTGACATGCAAGGACAAAAGATCACGTGACCTTGTACCGTAGGTCCGATTTTCAAAAAAATTATTATATTAAAAGTTGCGCAAGGCTTGAAAGAAAAAAGTCAGCGAGCGGCGGGGCGCCATCCATATGCGTTCCCGAGCAATCAGAAAAATTGTGGAGGGGGGGGGGCCATAATGGCCCCCCGGCCTTATTAGGGTTAAACAAATAAAAATATTGTGCGATTGCGAACAATTTCAGGAATCAAAACATATACTTGTTGAAAGCTAGCTGGTCACATCAGCAGCCCCTGCAAAGGAGAGCCCACAAAAAACCAAAAGATTTGGTTAGCAGCTGCTCAGATGAAGCTATATCACTAATCTATTAACAAAAAATTGACTATAAATTTCTAACACAATATAAGAAATATGTGGAACGCACAAGTTACTGCTAAGCTACACTAAGCTTACTAAGCCAATCTACTTAAACTGATCTATGCTGTCGTAATGTATTGACCTCATAACCTGGACATTTTTAATTTTTGATTTTTGATTTTTGATTTTCGATTTTTTTTTTTTTTTTTTTTTTTTTTTTTTTATGTGTGTGATTTTTGGGGGTATTTTTTTAAATACAGTGTTTCGTATTTTGATATCCAAAAAATAAACATCATTAATTTTCCATCAAACGGTAATCTGAGGACGATGGGCTGTAGAACAAATAAAATAAGGCTTGTGATAAATGAACCTCGCGATTGGGGCCAAGGGCTAATGTGTAAAATGGAGACAGGTTGTTATAACTCATTATTTTAAAAGTTGACTTTGGAACAACAAATAGCATTGACTCCTTTACGATGCCTTAAAAGCTCCATTTTCGCAAAATTGAAGGGGGAATCCAAAAAAGTGAGATACAAAGATCCTAAGTAAACAGACCACAACACTTTTGCCTATAAATATGTGTTTATTTTATATGGCCGTGAAATACTATAAAGTTGTTCACAGTTTTTTTCTTTTTCTTACAATGTCAGAAAAACGCACACACGCACATCTAACAATGAAAGCTCGGTATCGATTTAAGAAAAATATAACATTTTAAACCTCCTATCCATACCTTAAAGGTACTATGTCCCATTTGCAGGCCATAAAAAGAGAAAAGGTTAAATTCCAACAAGCATTTGATAGATAATACTAGTTTAGAACTTCCCTAAAAAAGGGGGGCTTGAATATGTCTTCAAGTGGGAGAAATAACGACTACCGGTATTAGTTTTCGAAGCACTAGCTGGGTGTCGAACCCGATACCTTCCAGTTTCCAGGCGATTGCCTATCCACTAGACTAATATGTCACATTGATAATCTCCATGTATTTTTTCATATTGATACTTATTGTTGTAGATGTAGCAAAAGACGTTTTTCTTTTTCAAAGACAAAAAATAGCACTATACTAGCTGGGTGTCGAACCCGATACCTTCCAGTTATCGGACGATTGCCTTTCCACTAGACTAAGGCGTCACACTGCTAATCTCCATGTATATTTTAATATTGATACTTATTGCTGTAGATGTAGCAAAAGACGTATTCTACCTAATTCAGAGAGTCGGTTGTTAAAAAAAAAGAGTATGACATGTTATTGACTCCTTTGTTAAGGAGTGGGGGGGGGGGGGAGGTGTCCCCTAAAAAAAAGATGAACAAATCAATATCATGGGGAGTCGAACCGAGTACATTGCATTGTGAAACGATCTATTATTATCCACAAGACCACTTTGCCTCACTGCTATTAACTAGTTCGCTTGTTGGTGTTAACACTTTCTGCATGTCGATTTTTGCACTCTCGCAAACAATGCCTCCTGTTCATCCAAGCGTGAACACATACCACTAAAAATGATACCAAACGATTTAGGATTTAAAAAAACACTCTTTCATTAGATGTTTAATAATTTACTGTTCAATTATAAAAAAATTTTTTTAATAATTAGCAGTTTTCTATGTGTAAACTTTTTTTAGACTCACACGGTAGATGAAGCCAGCGCAAGCCCCTTGTTTCGTACTTTATGGGTGAAAATGAAACGAGCGTTTCAAAAGAGGAGAGCTCTTGTTTCTATGGGAACATGAAAACAGTCGTAACTTGTTCCATAAATTGTCTTATTACCTTTGTCTCTGGAATTGGTTCCTGAACTTTTGCTCAATAAAATGTAATGGCTTTCCAATAAATGGAACAATTCATTCAAGTATTAAAAGGCTAAAGAGAAAATGCAAAAATCGACTTGCGCAAAAGTTGCTTATGTGTTGTTTACATCACTGGCGTACTGGTGGGGGGGGGGGGGGTCTTGGGGGGCGCCAGCCCCCCCCCCCCCCCCCAAATAAAATTGAACCATGACCAAGTAAAGAAAGAGAAGAGAAGAAAGAAGGAGAAAAAAAGAGGAAGGAGAGGAAAGAAAGGAAAAGAAAGAAAAGAAAGAAAAGGAGAAAGAAAAAAAAAAAGGAGAAAGAAAAAAAAAAGGAGAAAGAAAAAAAGGAGAAAAAGGAAACATAAGAAAACAAACAAAACAAAACAAGACAAAGGAAAGAGAGGAGAGAGAGAGAGAGGGTGGTATTAAGAGCCTAAGAGAAGATGGGTGGGAGTGAGAGAGCAAAGGGAATGTTGGGTGGAGTCGCCACGTCGAAGGGGCAAGAAAGATACGCATAGATAATTATGTTGCTGTGTCGGGTCTGCTGTGTCGGTATTCTTGCTCTATCTAGCTCGTGTACTATATCAATTTAGAAGTTTGAAGTCGGTGAGATGTTTAATGTCGGTCGGCCGGCAATTTTTTTTCTCCCTACAAACTGTGACTTTTTATCGGACAAAGAAAAGAAAAAATTAATTCAGATAATTTATCTGATAATTTAATGAAACGTCAAAGCTTCCGCGCATCGCGCGGGAGGGAGGGAAACTGAATTCAGACAAAGTGAGTAGAAATCAGTACAACGAATCGTCTTCTTTCTCTAATAATTTAATTAAACTTCAAAGCTTCCGCGCTAAGTGCGGGATGGGCAAAAATGAATTCAGGCAAGGATTAAGAGTCGAGAACGGTACAATGAATCGTCTTCTTTCTCTAATAAATACATGAAACGTCATAGCTTCCGCGCTTCGCGCGGGAGGGGCGAAACAAGAATAAAAAGTCTAGAACGGTACAACGGATCGTATTCTTTTTCTAATAATTTAATGAAGTATCAAACCTTCCGCGCGCGGGAGGGGGAAAACTGAAAAAATAACTTAGTTCCAGGCCCCGGGTTTACAGGGTTAAATTTGTAGACATTGGGACATTGGCATTAATATATTTGTCGGTAATTGGTGGCTCGTTTTGAAGGTAATCGGTGGCCTCTCCCCCCTCCCCCACTGAAAAAGATCTAGCAACGCCCCTCATAACAACACAGTTTATACACTCGATATAATTTTTAGTACAACTGGTACCGGACCACCGTCTTTGTGTATTGTGCGGCAATGAACCTAATACAACGTCTCATTTCCAGGAAGTGCCGGTGGACTATTATTGCGCAAAATGTGGTTCTCACATTGTAAAAGATTCCTACTCTTGGAGGGGGTAGGAGAAAGCAATTTTATGTCATATTACTCCAGGGAGTGCCTGAAAAGGCGTCTAATGTGGTTCTAAAATTGCAAATGCTTCCTACTCCCGCTTGGTCGTTCCCCTCGCCGCTAAAGCCTCGCTCTGTCGCTTCATCAGGTTTTACATATATTTCACCCCCATGCCACCCCCGTAAGAAACTCCTGGATCCACCACTGGTGTCCATACCCATTGAGCTTCGGGGGCTCCGCCCCCTGACCCCCCTGATGGGGCTTTGCCCCTAGACCCCACTTTGAAAAACGTTCAGTGGG